AAAATAAAATTAAAGTACAATATTGTAGAAAAATATACGAAAGAATTTTACATTTATAATGATGTCTGTAAATAATGCTTGAGAAAAAATACAAATTTATGATCCTCACACAGAATCCCTATAAGATTTATTTTTCAGAATGCCTTCGAAATTCCAACAATTTTTCTAAATTTTTCAAGAATCCCCAACGAAAGAATTCTTTTCATTCTTTGACAATAATTAGAAAACATTTCTCTCTCTCTCTCTCTCTCTCTTCTAAACGAGAGTACAAAATTATATTAGGAATATTTCTTCTTCTACAGATAAAATTTTTCATATCTTTAAAAATTTTCTCCAGTTATTAATTCGATTCCTTTTTCATATATACTTATTCTTATAAGACTCAGTATAAACAAATCTAATAATTCAATAATCTGATTTAAATCTTAAAAAGAGATCGTCTCAATTTTCTCGAGAAAAAATTTATTATACGTGAAATAAGAATATAGTAGAAGAGTTATACGGAATGTAATTGGAGAAAATTGAATGCGATTTAACTTGTGATGCAATAAAAAAATGAGAATTCGAGAAATTTAAAGTTTCAATATAAAAAAAAAATGTGGTTTAATTTTCTATCTACTGCTTCTATTCGAGTACAATTAAAATTAATTCTGATAAGGATTTAAATGAAAAATTTTATTTATATTTATTTTAATTTCTTTTTTATATTTTATTCATTTTATTTATTCTATTAATTTTCTTAATTTTCTTAATTTTACTATTTTTTTTTAATTTTAGTAATTTTATAGTAATTTTAGTAATTTTCTTTATTTATTTTATTTAAATTTATTTAATTTACTTTATTGTATAAATAAATTTAACAAAAACTAAAACTAAAAACTAAAATAAACTCCAATGAAATATATTCGAATCGAAATTTTATTAAATTTCTACCTAATTTATTAATAATTTAACAAATCGACAAAAATGACAAATTTTTATTGCATAAATTTATTGCAAAAATACGTAATTTTCTCTACTTTTATAAAATTTTCTCTCATATTTAATATTCTATTTAAAGAGAAACGAATTATTTTTATATTGAGAGGAATTTTTTATACAAATAGAAAGCGCAATGAGTTTTAATGAAAATTGAGGAAAAAAAACTCAAGGAGATTAAATAAAAAGTAATAAATATAAATTTCATTGAAAATTGGAGAATTAATTACTGTTTATAAAAATATTTTGAATAAAAAATTCTTTCACTGATTTCAAGATAATTTTTATGAACTATTTTATTTTGATCATTGAAAAGATATTATTTGGTTTTCAGTGTTTATTTTTAACCTATAATTATTATCTGAGTTATAACTAATTTTGTACTTTAATTATTTTTTCAATACTTTTTTTATTATACTTTTATTATTATTATTGTTATTATTTTTTTTATTTTCTTTATTATTATTTTGATTGTTATTATTTATTTATTAAATAATAATCGTTGCAAATACAAAAATTGATGGCTCGAATATTCTATTTATAACAAATAAAAATTAATTTAGTTCAAATAAATATTTACTCGATAATTATAGCCTTTGATTAGAAACCAAAAAAAAAAAAAAAAACATTTTCTCATTGCCAACGAAAATATTTTCCTAGCGCAAAAATATATTTTTCAAAAATACTTTCTTTGATTAGAAAATAATTTTAGTTTAAAACAACAAATTTTCTTTATAAAATAAAATTAATATTTACAAAAACTAATATTGAAATGTTAAAATTCAAAGTAACAAATTTTCTTTATAAACTAAAATTAATAAAAACTAATTTTAAATTTCAAAGCAACAAATTTTCTATATAAAATCGTTAAAATAGTTTAAAAAAAAGTTTCGTCAATTAAATTACATTTTTAGTTGTTGCTCCTCTTACATTCGTCACTATATCTACGAGGTGAAAGAACTCATTAACGAAACATTCAATTTATATATCTTTGAATCGTAAGAAAATAATAATAAAAATAAAAATTGAAAACTCATTGAAAAAAATGCGCTTTTGCGCTTAATTCTAAAAAAAGAGATCGAGGCCAAGGAGAAATTGAAGTGAAGAAAAAGAATGTGAAAAAGAAAAAAATATAATAATACAGGAAAAATCTTGAAATTATCAAGAAGAATTGTTAGCACGCGAGCGAGCGCGCTCTCTCTCTCTCTCACTCTCTTTCGCGCTTAGTTGGAAATAAATGAAATAAAAACGAAAAAATTTTTACTGAGAAAGAAATATAAAAAAAGTGAAAAGTGCATGAAGACGTGTAGAAAATAGATGTGTTTAAATTTGTACCAGGTTGCGCTATAAATGCACATCATAGAAGAGACTCGTGTCTGTTCATCGTCTGATTTTCTCACACTTTCCGCTTCTATTTCGAATCCGCGTCCTCTATATACAATACCAAGATTTGTCCATAAAAAAAATTTGTTTAAATTTATTAAAGAAAAAAAAAAGTACTAACGCTCTTTTTTTCATCCACATTTTATCCAAAATGAAAAATAATCCCTTCAGTTAAAAAAAAAAATCATTTTTTTTTCTCACGTGAAAAATAGATTTTTGTCGAACGTGCTCTATGTCAAATTTACGAAAATTATTCTGCGAATATTATGAAAATGTTTTCTAAATGAAATCCTTGACATAATTTCCCTTCTCCCCCCTCTTCGACACAACGACAAAAATTTTACAGAGGAAAAAAAAAATTTACCGTAAAATTTTATTTTAAAACCCTTTGAAAATTTTGTTTTTCATTAATAAGAATGATTTACTCGCGAACTGATTAAATAACGTCAATTTATTAGTATTTTGAATTTATATATAAATTCTATATTTTACATGGTATTATGTTTTGTAAAACATTTTCATTTTTTTCACGATTTATAAATTTAGGAGAGGAGAGAGAAAGAGAGGGAGGGAGAGATGAGGATTATTTAGTTGACATAATTCTTCACAGAAGAAAAAAATATCTCTTTTTCTTTGAATAAATTAATAATTAATTTCTTGTGTTTTATATTTTATTATTATTAGTTTTTCATAATGTAAACATTTTGACAAACAATCGATTTATTATTTTTTTTATATTTATAATTTCATATAATTTTTACAGTAAACATTTTTATTTATTTAAATTTTTAATTTATTTATTTATACATTTATTTTGTTACTTCAGTAATTAAATATTAGAAATCGAATTGAAAAACACGATAATTAGAGAATAAAATTAATTTGCAAATAAATGTAAATTTTTTTTTCTCAAGTTTTGAATGTTCAAAATTGGATGAAATTATTTTTCTGTTTAAATATTTTTTCAAAATTACTATACAAAAAGGAGAAATAATTAAAATTAACCATTTACTTACTCAAGAAATAATCTTTTTTATAAATATAAATATTTTCTATAAAAAATAGGAATTAAAAGCAGGAAAAAAATATTTTTGCTCATTTGAACGTTCAAATGTTTAAAAACATGAAAATTAATAATTTACTGAAAATAATAATATTATTTGAATAATTTAATTTGTAAAAATTTATTTCAAGTTCTTTTACTTTAAAATAAATAATAACAGTAAGAATAAAACTAATATTAATAATAATAATAATAATAATAATAAATTTTAAAAAAGTGAACAATTTCCCACGAGATTAATTATTGCCTCTATTGTACAACTAATAACGATTGAATTCCATGAAAATCTTGAATTATCAATAGACTAATTGAAGTGTAATTCAATCCTTCAAAATAGAACCGCTGTTATTGCAAATGCGACGCTTTCCCCTCATATGACATTTTGGCACGTATTAATTGACACATGTCAATATTATTTTTGATTGAAGGCCATTCAAAGAGTACAAATCGCTTTGATTAATCATTATTATTTACTCGCCTGATAAATATGTAAAGATCTAATTGACATGCAATTAAGAATTTCAACTAAATACCTCATGAATGAACGTAAAGAAAAAATAATTTCTTTCTCCAAAAAATAACTACTTTTTACCTACATTTTTACTCTCATTCTATTCAAATTAATTATTTTTTAATCAAAATAAATATTTTTATTAAAAAGAAAATTTTCATAAAAATAAATATTTTTATTAAAAAGAAATTTTTAATCAAAATTTTAATTTTTATTAAAAAGAAATTTTTAATCAAAATTTTAATTTTTATTAAAAAGAAATTTTTAATCAAAATTTTAATTTTTATTAAAAAAAAATTTTTATTAAAAAAAATTTTTAACAAAAATTAAAATTTTGATTTAAAAAATTAATTTGAATAGAAAATGGTGGGATAAAGTGTGGTAATACTTTCACGGTTAATTTCCGGTTTATTTATCTAAAATATTTAATGGTTTAAAGATATTTATTATTATTTTATTAAAAATGTATTTTTTTAGTTTGCAAAAAAAAAATTGTTATTATTATATTTGTAACAAAGATTGATCTTAGTTTTGCGATCACTTGAACTGACGTCAATGTAATTTCGACCTGACATTTAACATCTCCCGGTAGTAATCGGTTTCGTGATTCGTTGTCTTCTCTTAGATTTCTACTTGCATCGTAAACGTGACCCATCGAAGACGCTTTTAGAACAAAGATTACGTCACTTCCGACGTCATGGGTTTTGTCGCAGAAATTGTTTCCAAGTCAAATTTTCAACAGTTTCTCTCTCTATATGCCGTAAACTTATTTTTGAAAATCAAAAAACTTTTCCAATTTTCACAGAAATCTTTTGAATAATATTTGAGAATTTGGTTGGGTAGAAATAAATGTTCTTCTTCAATTTTTAATAACAGTTATACAGCATTTTTTTTTTGCACATTTTTCTAAGGTTTTTTTTTTTATTTTGTTCTGTTTTAAAAATTCGAACCAATTTATGGTAGAAATTAATATATATTTTATTTATAAGAAAGGAAAAATTTAAGAAATTTGTATTTAATTAGTTTTGTTTTTCGTTCTTAATTAATATTAATCATTTGTTGCAGATATGCCCTGTGAGCAGTCAGTTTTTGTGATGCTGAATGGAGAGGAGAGTGAATTGAAATTTTTAAATATTACCAATCCAAAGGTGAGAAAAATAATTATTATATTATTTAAAAAAATATTTAACCAAATCTTGGCGCTATGTTGGCAAACTATTTTTATTCATATCCTCGGTACATTCTGGGAAAATATAATAAATTATTTTTATTCACATCATGGGCGAAGATTGGCAAAATGTTTAGCCAAATTTTCATGGCAAACTTCAAAAATTATTTTTGTTGCGAATCTTGGCGAAATATTTAGCTAAATCTTGGCGCTGAGTTGGAAAACTATTTTTATTCAAAACTTCGGTGCATTCTGAGAAAATATTTAGCCTTATTTTTGGGGAAAAATAAAATAAATATTATTTATTTATATCTTGGCTGAATTTTGGGTCAATCTTGGAAAAATATTTAGCCGAATCTTGGCGCTGAGTTGGAAAACTATTTTTAATCAAAACTTCGGTACATTCTGGGAAAATATTTAGCCATATTTTTGGGGAAAAATAAATTATATTTATTTATATCTTGGCTGAATTTTGGGTCAATCTTGGAAAAATATTTAGCCAAATCTTGGCGTTAAATTGGAACATTATTTTTATTCAAATCTTCGGTACATTCTGGGAAAATATTTAGCCAAATGTTAGGGGGAAATATAATAAATTATTTTTATTCAAATCTTGGGTGAATGTTGGGTAAATGTTGGCAAAATATTTAATCTAATCTCGCAGCTAACTAGAAAAACTATTTTTTTCTAAAATCTTTGACGAATACTGGTTAAATTTTTAGCTACAATAATAACGACAATACTGGCTTAATTTTGGCAATATTTCCAAAAAAATAATTTTCGTTTCTTTTTTTTGGCAGAGCGAATTGGAAAAAATCGCCAAACCCGATGCATTTATAATAATGTATTCGGTGATAGACAAAGCGTCATTTCAAAGGGCTCAAGAACATTTGGCACGTTTACACGATCAGGATCTGTTGCGAGGCAGACCAGCGATCTTAGTCGGCAACAAAGTTGATTTGGTACGGTCCAAAGTTGTTTCACCCGAAGGTATGTATTAACATCGATTTATTCATCAAAGTCAAACATCAATTTCAGATTAACTTACAGATTGTAATTAAATTACTTCCAAGAACAACACTCTTTCTCTCTTCTACTCTTTTTCTCCCCATTTTCCTCGATTTTTTATTTTTTTTCCATTTTTCTTTATTTTTCTCTACTTTTCTTTTAAACTTGAGGGATTACTATTAAATCGATACAACAGCCTTAATGTAACGAGAATCTTGTGTAAATAAAGAAAATAAATAAAAAGTTAAATGAATAACAAAGTAAATAAAATATTAATATTTTTTTATGTCTTCAAACCGGTAAAAAAATTATAATAAATATATAAATAAATAATAAAATTAATAAGTAAGAAAATTAATAAATAACAAAATTAATAAATAACAAAATAAATTAGTAACTAAAGTAAAATAAGTAATTAAAATAAATAAACAAATTAAAACAAAGTTAACAAATAACGAAATAAATAAATACAATTCTTTCTCTATGAGGAAGCAATAAAAAAAATAATCGAATGAATAAATAAATGAGTAACAAAATTAAATTTATTATTACAAATTAATTAAGTAAATTAATAAAAGAATAAATGAATAGCAAATGTAAATAAATTGAAAAATAAATGAATGAATAAATAAATATGTAAACAAAACATAAACATGCAAATCACAGAAAGGCGGAAAAACAGGAAATTTTTTCTCTCTTCGGAAGTTGGAAGAAAATTAAATAAATTTAAGTTTTAATTAGCATTCTTGCTGACGTTACTGTTTTTTTTCCTTTTTATCTAATTAAGTTTTTCAATTTAATCAGATTTACCTAAACAAAAGAAAAACTCGGCAAAAATCAAAGGAAAAGAAAAAGTATTACCAGTATTCAGGGAAGTGAAATAATTTTTTCTGTTTAATGCAAATATTTTTCTCTCGACAAAGAATCTTTTTTTATGCAAATATGTTATTCTCGATAAATTATTATTGTTAAGCTATTGTTAAATTATTAAATTATTGAATTAATATTAAATTATTTTTCAGTTGCTAAGTTGTTAAATTATTTTTCAATTAATGATTAAATTATTATTTTCTTATAAATAAAAATACGATTCTAATTGTTTTTGTGTTTTTTTTCAGATGGAAAATGTGTGGCGTGTACATATCGAACAAAATTCATTGAAATATCAGTCGGAATAAATCACAATGTCGACGATCTATTGGTGGGAATTTTAAGTCAAATACGATTAAACATTGTCCAGGGACATTTGGATAATAGAACAGTTAATGGAGAAAGCAGTGGACGATGGTACAAATCACGTGGCGTTGTGAGAGCAAGTATGAAGGCAAGACAAATGCTCACGTGGCTTTTTGGCAAGGAGGACAGTAAATTTAAAAATTGCGAAAATCTCCACGTTCTTTAAATTCAATTGCAAAAAAACGATTACAAGAAAAATATTTACAAAAAAAGAAAAATAATTACCAAAAAAAAAAAAATAGTTACAAAAAACAAATAATATTACCAAAAAAATAGTTAAAAAAACAAATAATTATTAAAAAATAGTTACAAAAAGATAATCACAAAATAAATTTACAAAAAAAAATTATACAAAAGGAAACGCGAAAGTTTTGAAAGTTCAAATAAACGTCAATATTTTTATTACTATTTTTAATTTGTATTATAGTGAAAAATTATTGAAAACTATTATTAAAAATAAAAAATTATTGTGTATATTGAAACAATTAATTGTTAATTAAGTATAATTTTGAATTTACCATACTTTTTAATTTACTAGTTTTTTGGGAATATTTTCACAGAAAAACTATTCGTTTATTTGAACATTCAAAATTTTATTGTAAAATATAATAGAATCGCAAAAAGAAATACAAAAAGATTTACAAAAAGAATTACGAAAGAATTACAATAGAATTACGAAAATAATTACAAAAAGAATTAAAAAAAGAATTACAAAAAAATTTACAAAAATAAATACAAAAATACATATAAAAATCAATAGAAAAAAATGATAATAAAAATATAATTAAAAAGAAAATTACAATAAAAGAAATACCAAAAAGAATTATAAAAAAGAATTACGAAAATGTAATTACAAGAAAAAAATGCAAATATATCAATTTAAGCCTTTTTCGATGACAATTTTTCAATTTTTCTCAACTTTTTACTAGTCAACGTTTCACGAAGCAAAATAAAAAATTTCTATTTACTTCGTAAAAATAAAGAAAAATTTTTCAATGTTCAGAAAAATTGAGAAATTATCATAATACTAAATAGGCGAACTGAAAATTATTATCAATGATATAACATTTTATCTAATTTTAAGTGCATATATATCAAAAATCATTGGCGATCCTTGAAAGGACAATCAGTTCGGCTTAATGATCGACCAATGATTATCTCAAATAAAAAAAAAATAAAAAAAATTGTGCCAACCTATTTCAAAGGGATCAACACTTTTCATCATCTATAATGAACGTCGAATCGATTGCGTGAGAGTTGAAATTTATTGGTTCGTAAAATTTTAGATTCAAAGAACACTTGATTGCCTTTAATTATCATACTTGTTGAAATTTACCTCTCATTTCAAATTATAAACTCAAAAAGAAAAATTCACTATTGAAACAAGAAAACATTTGGTTTTTAATTCTTCGTTTATTAATTAATTAAATAATTTTTTATTTATTAATTAATTCACAATTTTTTATTTATTAATTAATTCACAATTAATTAATTCTTTATTTATTAATTAATTCACAATTAATTAATTCTTTACTTATTAATAAATTCTCGTTCATTTAAACGTTCAAAACTTCTAAATCATAACTAATTAATTAATTATAGAGGAATTAATTAATAAGACAGAATTTAAATTAAAATTTCATTTTTCAAAATTATTTATATTCCAAACCAATAAATATCAACAAAAAAATTCACGACAAATTTAAAGCAGAAATTAATGAATAGAAAATTTCTTGCAAAAATTGAAAATCAAAAAAAGACGTTCCCATTGGACCAAGACTAGAAAAAGAACCAATTATATCGAAAAAAAATCACATAGTCATTAAAAAAATTGTAATTAGAAAAATTGTACTAATTTACACATTATCCCAAATTTCTTTCGCATTGTAAACTTAATATATTTAAAAATTAACAATTTTGAAAATTTTTCCATTTGTCATATCATTTTGTTAATATGCGCAATTTATTTGTCTGCGTTTCTGTACAGAAAAAAAAAAACAAGAAATGAATCGATAAACTTTTTCATAAGATGTATATATATATACCTCTAATGTAGAAAATAAGTTTAGTTAAATTTTACTGCATATACGTTTTATGATATATGGTTATTGTGTATAATTATATTATATTCTGGTGATAATATTAATTTACGTGCGTGAGTCGAGAAATTATCAAAAGATTTGCAAATAAAAATAAAAAAATTCCATATTCCATTTTGTTTGGAATTTTCTGGAATATCGAAGCAAAAAAAAAAAAAAAAAAAAAATTGCGAATATATATTGTATGTAATTTTTTTTCAATAATCGATTAGATTTTATTTTCGATTTCCTATATATTATATATACATAAAAATATAGGTCTTTTAAGTAATCGTAAAAATGTCTCTTGACAACCTAAGATTTTTATCAAGTGCCTTTCGAATATTTTTATAAAAACTAAGCGAGAATCCGTATAATCTTATAGGTACTTTTTGTCCTTTAATTATACATAATTATCATCTTCAAAGTGTTAATAACAATTTTTTTTTTGACAGTTTTCAATCTTTCCGCAATTTTTAATTTTTATCCAAAATTTATTTCAAATTTATTGTTCATAACAATTTTGGAATTTTTATTGCAATGTTATAAATTAATATTCAAATATCAATTTTATTGAATATTAATTTCGAATAAAAAATATGAACGAAGAAAAAAAAATATTTCCTTCATTGCCGAATCGAATTGAAAACTGTCAAAAACTGCGATATTTCGAAATATAAATATAAATAAAAAAATCAAAATATTCAAATATGGAAAAATATTTCTTCCGAACACGAGGGGTTTGTCCAGAATCCAAAAATCTTATTCACAAAGCCTATTTCAAAACCCAAATTCGTGTGTTTCAATACTGTAAAATAATAATAAAAATATCTTATTCGTTGTATTGTAACAATGTGGAAAGACAATACTGCCAAATCTTTCGATAATAAAAAAAAATACAGAAATTCATTAAATACTTTTTTTCACACTTTTTTCTATAAACCCAACTATTTAATTGAATAACAGAAAAAAATATTAAAAATTCAATCCGAAAATAGAAAAAAATAATAAAAACTGATTAAATGGTAAAAAATAAAAAACACTAATTAAAGGACAAGATAATAAAAAATTAACAAAAAGAAAGAAAAATAAAGTTAATAAACAAAAACTTATAAAAAAATGTTCCTAAACTTCTAAATTGTTTAATTGAACGAAATTCTTTTATTTCTCTTTTCAATAGTGTAAAATTTTATTTCAATAATTTTGTCTCTCGAATCAAAAAAATTAATTAGTTTCTAAATATGTAAAATTTTGATCTTTCTTTTTTATTACAATCAATACTGAAATTTTTTTTTATGACAAATATTTCGTTCCTTCGAACATCCAAGACTTGTGGATAATAAAAAATAAAACGAAATTTATAAAAATAAATAAAAATTAAAAAATTAATAACTTAGAAAAAAATTTTTAAATTAAAAAATTTTCCTGAAAAATTTACTCGAAAATTGTCGTTGAATTTGAAAAATAATTTTGCTTCATGATTTATAAAGTACCAAAGATACTTTGAATAATAAAATAAAAGTTAAATCACTAATTGTGAGTGTAATTCAGAAACAGTGTATAGGAATTATTCGAAATTGAAAATACATCAAAAGTTAAAAAAAAATGTTGGCAATGTGGAATCAAGTTTTATTTAGAAAAAAAATACGTGTAAAAAGCATTGTCAATAGCATTTACGGATCACTTTTCACAGCAATATTCAATCGGTACTTTGCATTGAACGAAATAAAATAGAGAAGTACAGAGAAATTTGAGAAAATCGATATTCCCTCCCCCTCTATTGTGGTTGAAATCTGAATCTTTTTAGTCTTTTATCGAAATTTTTAGTAAAAGAATTAAAAAAAAAGTTTACTTTACAAAAGAATATACAAACAAACAAACGGTATTCAAAATTATGGTTTTAGTTGTTTAAACATTATTCAAATAAATAGTATTCGTATTACTAACTGTATTTAAATTAATTAATAATATTTATAAATTATATTAATATTAATAGTGTCAATAATATTATTAACATTTATTAATATTAATACAATCTGTTAATAATATTAACATAATTTATTAATATTGATCAATATTAATACAATCTATTAACACTAAAGTTATTCTTAAATTAATTCAAATTTACTTTCAATAGTCTTTTTATATTTCATTTATAATTTTCATAAATTCATTAGAATTTTTATGTTAATTATATGGAATTTTGAAATAAACCCTTCAGTGAATAAAATAAAAATGTCTTTAAAAAACGAATATATAAATAATATTTTTATATTTTATAATTAAGAGCTTAAAAAATTTACCATTAGTAATATTAATATTATTATTTCACTCAATTATTTATTTTACTATTAATTAATAATAAATATTAATAATAATAATAATTAAATTAACTAAAATAATTAAAAAGAAAAATTTCTATTTATTACTTTTCTGACAACTAAAATATTCATTATAATTCTAATTATATCATTAATCTTTATAATTATTTATTATTTATAATTTATAATTAAGTAACGAATTAAAGTAAAATATAAAAGAATAAAAATCCTCAGTTTCTCTTTACATGTAAATTTGCGTTACTAAATAATATCGATTACAGAGGTAAGATTTTACCGATTAATGCCCTTCCCTTTGGTCTTGCTCTGTACTAACATAAACAATTGCATAGCAACGACATTTCAAACCCCTCTCAATGACAGTTAACAGAATATTTTTTTTTTATTTTTTGATACAAAAGGAAAATTATTTTCTATTCAACGAAATTTTATTGCTCCCCTATTCATGGTGAGTAGGAAGTATTAATATTTCTAACTGACAATTAATTCTAACTATTTAAGAAAAATAGCACAATAATTCAATTTTTAAAATATTTGTAAATTATTAAAAAAAAAAATTATCAATTTATTATATGTAAATATTTCAAACCTTTTTAGAAATTTGCTCTCGAAACACCATCTTGGAATTGTTTTCGAACATCACAAAAAAAAACACTAGACAACACTTTATGAAAAAAAAATCGCTAACAATTAGGTACAATTATTCGCTAACTCTCGGAAAAGTGGAAAATAAAAAAAAATGTTTAATTTGAATTAAAAATAATTTGACTATTTTTAAATAAAATTCTTTTTCTTTAATTCTTTTCGTTTTTTTTAATATTGTAAATTATATTTCAAATATACGAATTCTTTTTTTAATTATAAATTAATTCTTTTCGTTTTTTTTTTTTTTGATATTGTAAATTATATTTCAAATATACGAATTATTTTTTTAATTACAAATTAAAGTTTAAAAATTATAACAGAAATTTTTTTACAATTATTATAAATTTTAATGAGAAAGAAATGGGGTCTAAACTTGTCGAAACACGAATCACAACTGAAGAGTTCCAAATAAGTGAACTTGTGTTTTTGACCTTATTAGAGGTGATTATTTCTTTGTTATTTTGTTTCTTTTCAGGATAGATTGAAATTCAAGATAACGATTCTCAATATATATTATAATAAATTATTTATATTTTTTAAACAAAATTATTATTTTAATTTATTAAACTAATTTTTTTGGTCATTAAAAATTCTTTTAAAAATGTAATTTTTTTCATGAATTCGAGTAATTGAAGAAATAAATAATAAAAAATTCTATTTAGAAAATAATTATAATTCAGCTTGTAAATTATTAGGTATATAAATCACTTACAGAACTGAAAAATTGTCTTGAATAAAACAAGATTTTTTAAAACAAGAACACTTTTACTTACTCAATAAATAGAGAGAATTCTTCAATATTTATAAAAATGTTTCTTTCTACATGAATAGTAATGCAAAATATAAAATAAATTTGACTGTATTTTGACACATTTTATGTTAACTATTTAAAATTAATTTGACACTTTGTATTTGAAGAAAATTAATTTTTATAACTAGAGAAAAAACAAAGGAATAACAACAAATTACAGAAACCATAGCAACTCAAAATTAAGAGCGCAAAAATCGTTGATTATTAAATAAAATGGAATAAAAAAAGTAAATAATAATAAACTATTAAAGAAAATTTCTTATTATTTATTATAATTATAATCAGAATAATAATAGTAATAATAAAAATAATTAATAAGAAATAGAATAATATTACGCACCTAGAAAAAAATATGTTTGACTCAGAGCCAAATAGCCTTTTTATTTGTTTCACATTATGTGAAATTATTATTTCAAATTTATTATTTTAAATAAAAGTTTTATTAATGTCGAATAAAATTTTTATTTAAAAGAAATAAATAATTTAATTGGCTCTGAGACAAATATACTTTTACTTAACTCAAATAAATCATTTTTTTTTTAAATAAAATATATTTGAGACAAATAAAAAGTCTAGTTAAATATTTTTTTTTCTGGGTGCTGTACCTAATAATAATAAATAAATTTATTATTTACTCGAAATAATATTAAACTAAGAATAATTAGAGAATAATTATCGAATAAAATTTTTGCAACAGGTGTTCAAAAAAAAAATTTTTAGTTCTATTGCCAGAGGCTAATTTTTTTTCATAAAAAATAATGTCTTCTGTGGGAAAACCAACGACATGTAAAGACGCAATTCGTCGTTGGGAGGAAGAAAATGGACAGGAAGCTTCGACAGCAACTGAAATTACTTTGAGTTTTCAATGGCCACCCATTGAAAAAATGGATAATTCTCTGGCGATTTTGTCCAATTGTGAAAAAATTTCCCTCTCCACGAATATGATTGAAAAAATTGCAGGTACATTTTAATAATTGTAAAAATAAATTATTAATTAAATAATTATTAATTTTAATAATTGAAAAAAATTTGAAAAATTATTTTTTGAATTTAATATTTAATAATAAATTTTATGAATTATAATATTAATAAATAGTTAAGAAATAATTATTATTTATAAAGGAGAATAAATATAAAATAAAATAATAATAATTAATAATAAATTAATATTAAGAAATAAAAATTAATAATTTTGTTAATAATTAATGATTTTGTTAATTTATAATTATTATTAATAATTAATGTTTATAATTCGTTATTTAAAAAAGTTACGATTTTATTTTAGAGAATAAATTTACCTCCAGATTTTGAAAAATATTCAAAAAAAAATTCAAACTTAGTCAGTTAGTGTAACGAAAAAAATTTTAGCACTCGCTTTTTCAAATTAAAAAAAATATAATTACAGTATGAGAAAAAGTTTATCAGACTTTTAATCAGGGGACGGTAATTCAACGTACACGACTGTTTGAAAACTAATGAGGAAAGTTTTTCTATTAGAAAGCTTTCAATTTGTAATGTATTGAATTGAAAGCCAACCCACGAAACATTATATTTTTCCTCTCTAAAAAATCATATTTCTCAATAATAATTTTCCTCCCCAGCAATTATTTATTATTTCTTTTAATTTTCAAAAATAGAATTTTCGAAGAATTTAATTTAAAAAAAAAAATAATAAAGAAATAAATTTTAAAAAATAAAAATTTATTATATTTTTTTTTTTGGTTTTAGAATTAAAAGAATATTTAATGTTGATGAAGGTGAAAAATCACTAAATTACACTACATCTGCTTTTTTTTTCTCCTCGCAGGAATCAGTTCGTTGAAAAATTTAAAAATTCTATCACTCGGACGAAATTTAATTAAAGGCCTAACTGGAATAGAAGCATTGGGAGAAACATTGGAGGAACTCTGGATATCGTACAATTTGATTGAAAAAATGAAGGGAATTCAGGGAATGAGAAATTTACGCATTTTGTACATGTCCAATAATTTGGTTCGCGAGTGGAATGAATTTTCAAAAATGTCCGAATTACCGAATCTTCGTGAATTACTTTTCGTGGGAAATCCATTGTGCGATGGTGGCGAGGTAATTTTTTTCATTTACTTTAATTTTCAGTATTTTTAATTAGAAAAAAAAAATTTATTTTCAATATTCAAATTTATCTTTTTACTCCAAGAGTATAAAAAGACAATTTTTGGGGAGAAATATTTTTGGAAAATATTTAAATTATTTTTTTAATGAAAGCATAACATTTATTTATTTTAATGTATTTATTAATTTATTTATTAATTTATTTATTTATTGAGAGTATAAAATGGTAATTTTTATAAAAATATTTTTATTATTTATTGAGAGAGAGAATTATAAATTATTTTGTCAAAACTGACAATTTTTTGAAATATTCAAATTATTTTTGTATTGAGAATAAAAAATAATAATTTTCAGGGAAATATTCAAATTATTCTTTATAGTTAATTTTCGGGGAAATATTTAAATTATTTTTTTTTAATGAGAATAGAAAATGCTATTTTTGAAAAAAAAATTTTTTCTTTTATTAGGCGGATGGTTGGAAAATGGAGGTTGCAAGAAGACTACCAAATTTGGAAAAATTGGATGGAGAGCCAATTATTCGTTCGGAGGAAGGCACTCAACAAATATCAAAATCCGAATCATCTCCTCAAAGTTCAAAACCGTCTGAACCAATTGTCACTCAATAAAAAAAGAAAAAAATTTCTTATCCAAAAAATCTATTTTTCGATTTTTTTCTATTCAAATTACACATTAATAATTTTTTTCCTAATTAATTACTTTCTTCTTTTTATTTTCATAATATTTTCTTCTATTTTAATTTTTTCTACCTTATAATTATTTTCACCCAGAAAAAAAAATATTATTATTATTTTTGCATCTATTATTAAAAAGAAAACTAAAAATCAAATCACGACTATCAAAAAAGACAAATTTCCACTTACATTTATTATAATTTATTCGTTTTTTTTTGTTCCTGGTACAAGATAGAATATTTTACATATTTTTCTGGTGGTTGAAAAAGGTTTTTTTTTTTGTTTGATTATCATATCGGCACAGAGCACAATAGCAAACACAACATTAGAGTATGAATTCGATGCACGAGAAAAATTGTTACATCAAAAGAAAATTTGAAAAATTTTGAAATAGCAACTTTTTTTTGTAATGTAAGAATTGATTATTTTTTTTTTAGTTTTTTTTTTGTTTTTTTTTTCTTTTTTGTTATTTTAAGGCAAGTGAGTTGCAGAGAGATCATAATATTTTGTGTGAAAAAGCATAATATATATTAGTATATGTATATATATACTTTGCACCAAAATATGTGCAATTATACCGATAGATTCTCGTGCACTCGAAAAATTGACTGACTCATTTTTCTTACAGTTAATATACTGCATTATTTTTTTTTTTTTATTATAATTTATTAAAGTCTCCCACGAAAATGGATCCATTGAAAAATATTCTTCAACTGATTCCCTTCATTATTTTAAAAAACGAAATTTTAGTTAGTAAAAAATAAATATTAATAAATGTAAATGTTAATAAAGAAAATAAATACTAAAAAATTGCAATAAACGAGGGAATTAACAAAGAAGCAAACAAAAATAACAACAAAAAATAAACAAAATAATACAAATAGGAATAAATGTAAAAAAAATAGTAGTAAACAAAAAAGTAACAAAAAAATAGTAAAACCAAAATTAAGAGTAATGGTAAATAAATAAAGAAAAGTAAATACTTGTGGTTAAAAACTAACAGGGCAAAATAAATAAAATAAAGTTTAAACCTCTGAAAATAAATCTAAAAAATGAAATTCAACCAAAAATTATTTTAATATTAAATTAAGAATAATATTCGTTTCAATGGAAATCAGTAATATTTTTAGAAATACTTTCTTTTTTGGACCCACATTTATCATGAATAACTGTTTCAATAATAAAATCGTAATTTTTTAAAAATATTTATACATTATATCAGAAACTATCAATGAAATAATAATAAAAAATTATTATTATTAAATTTCTCACCAATTAATTATACCTAAAAATTGTATTTTCTAAAAATTATATTTTTAATTCGAAAATTGAAAAATAAAAAAAAATTATATCTAAAATCTTGAATCAATTAAAAAAAAAAAATTAAATTATTAAAAATAAATTGTTAATATTATTATTTTTAACGTTACTATTATATAACTATATTTTATAAAATAAATCTTCTTGATAAATATTTTTTTAAATACATTTTTCAATAAAAATATTTTCAACAATAAAAAATTCCAGAATTATATATACAAATTCCAGAAAATTCATAGAAATAAAATTTGAATTATTATAACGAAAATAAAGATCTCTTTTCGACAGAAGACTTCGTGATGGTACTATTTAAAAAAAAACAATTAAAAAAAAACTTGCGTTCGATACAAGCATATTAGAAGGAAACCTGTTCCTTTTTCTCTCTCTTTTTTTTTGTGTAATTTTTTACAAACGTTAAATAAGTAATATTTTTTTTTCGTAAAATTCGAACAATAAATATATGTGAATAACATTTTTTGTTGTCTGCCTAAAATTCATAAACTTCAGTAACAATTGTTTTATAACTTGTTTTATATGTTTTTTTTGTCCTCTCTTTTCTATATTTTTTTATCTGCGACATTTTTTTTTTTTACAAATTTGCTGAATTTGTGCACATTATAAAGTGCAACAATTTTTAATCAGTCTTTAGTCAGACCTTTTTCATAAATATATATTTATATTATATTTTTAGGAGTAAAAAGGAAAAAATTTATTTTGAGAACCACGGGTTTTATTTTTTAATCATTAGAAAGAAATTACTTATTTTTTTTCTATTCGTTGGCTTTGTCGATTTTTTTTTTATAATCTATATTCGAAAATAATTTCAACAACAAAATGAAAGAAAAAGAATAATTCCAGTAGTTCTCAAAAAGAAATCGAAAAAAAAATATAATTTCTTTTATATATACTATATAGAGAATTTAAAGATTGTTCCATTAAATTGATTGAATTCTTCGATAAAAACGGATCGAAACGATCGTATCGAAGGCAAGTAGAGAGAGAGAGGAAGATTTTTTATTCCCCCTCGAAAAAAAATTTTTCTTAAATATTCCCATTTGTGATTTATTCACTTTTGCGAATTAATAAATTTTTTCCCTATTTTTTTTTTAAATTACTATTACACTGAAGTTCAACCCAGAATCTCTACATTATTCTTACGTTAAACGACAATTACTACAACTCTTATAAAGTAAATTTTTTTTTCGGCTCAAAAATTTATTTTCGCAATGAAATTCAATTTATTCAATTTATTTATTTTTTTAAATAAAAATTATTTTTCAAGCTCAAAAGAAATAGAATGTTTGATTCTAATTTTTTTTCCGACTAAAATGAAAAGAGAAAATAAATTTTTGAGTATAAAAGAATAGATATGATTGTTTTCAAGACCGTCTAATCAGTCGATAATATTTTTGAAAATATTGTTTAAGGTACAAAAGTGATCGAATCTGGAATATTGAATAAAAATTCTAAAACTAAACTTTTTCTCTCAAACGATTTTTTTTTGTCAAATTTTTCTCATTTAATATTATTTTTTTTTTCCACTAATAGTTACCATCATAAAAACATTTCATTTAACGTTATTTTTTTTATTTATTATTTTCTCTTTCTTCTTTTTAAATCGTTTAAGATTTTTAATATTTTTTACTTACGATTTTTGTTTTCTATTAGTATTAATTTTTTTTCTCTTAATGGGTATTTAGTATTTTTTTCTTTGAAATGAATTGTATTTTCGAGATCGCGTCATTTCCAAGGTGCGTGAGTGTACCTAAATTTGTAAACATTCATTATATCCTTATAGATACAGCACATTAATTTCATGTTGATTTTTTGTCATTTTATCATTTTTTTTTCTCTCGAGCTTCGACATTGACACAAAAATAGTTCTTCACATTTTCTTAATTTTTTTTTTTACCTTTTTTTCTTTTTTCACTTTTTATATTCCTATATCGATATTGATTTATAATATTCGACATCGATTTATATACGAAAGAAATAACAGAGCGTACTTTTTTTTTTACTATAATTTCATTTTGATAAATAATTTTTATCAAAATTCTTTTTCTTCTGTTAAGAGTAAAAATTCTTCGTAATTTTTTTCATTTTCTTTAAGTGGCAAATCGTAATTTTTGCTTTTTAACAAAGTCCAGGGCTAATTTGTCGCCTGTTCGAGATTCCAAAATTTGTAGAATTGGATGATCTGGAAAAAAAAATAATTGAAGAATTAAAATATATTTTCTACTGGAAGTAGAAAATGAAAATTTATTTTCTATTCGAAAGGGGAAATAAAAATTTATTTCCTCTTCGAAATGGGAAAAAAAAATTTATTTTCTACTGGAAATAGAAAAGGAAAATTTATTTTCTATCAGAAATGAAAAAATTAAATATTTTTTTTTAACTGGAAATAGAAAAATTGTTTTCTACTCGAAATGGAAAATAAAAATTTATTTTCTACTGTAAATAGAAAATTAAAATTCATTTTCTACTGTAAATAGAAAATTCAAATTTATTTTCTATTACAAATGGAAAATTAAAATTTATTTTCCACTAAAATTAGAAAATTTAGAAATTAATTCTTTCAAAATGAATGAAAAAAGGAAAATTTTCTCGAAAATCTTTTTTTACATTTATTTTTTTGTTGCATGAGAGGTAACTCTTGATGTTTGAGGCCATGAAAATTATCGATGCTTGCATTAGAATCCGCAACGCCAGGAATGCTGCTAAGTCCCAAGAAGGCTTCACCGGCAAAATCATTTGCCGTCAGTACATCGTGGTCCATTACAGTGAATAGGACCATTGAATCCGGACTTCGACATTGTTCAACACTCACGGAACTGTCGAGAAAAAAAACATTCAGCAAAAAATATTAAATTAAATTAAAAATTATATTAAATTACTTTTTTAATAAAAGAAATTTTTAATTAAAAGTTATACAAAAAAAAAAAATTCTTCACCACTTTAAATATTGAAATTAGATTTTCATGAAAGAAATTTCCAATTAAAAATTGTATTAAATTGAAATAAAAATTTTTTTACCACTTTAATCATTGAAATTACTTTTCCACGAAATAAATTTCGAAAGTAAAATAAAATGAAATAAAGAAAGATGAAATTAATTTTTTACGAACGAAATTTTGAAAATCGAAAAAAAAAATTGAAAAAAGAAATGAAGGAAGAAATTAATTTTCCACGAAAGAAATTTTGAAAGTCGAAAAAAAATTTAAAAAAAACTGAAATTACTTTGTGAGAAAAGAAATTTTTCTTAGAAGTAGATTTAGAGGATGAAATTATTTCTATTTGAATAAAAATTCAGAAAAAAAGTGAGAACTCTCGAGGATTTTCATACTTACAATTCGAAACATTCGTCAAAGAGAGGATTTAAGGTTTTCTTTTTTACATTCGTTTGTTGTTCGGAACAGTGGGCAAAGACTCGTCGTGGCAGCAATTCTATTATCACAAAAGGATCACTGAGTCCATTTGGATCAAGGGGAATCACGTCTCTTGCACTTATGACTTCCACGCAAAGTGAATCGTGATTAAAATATGCCCTTACTGTCAAAACACCATACTCAACCGTAAACGTATTCATTTGGTCCTGAAAAGAAAAAAAAATTATTTACAATTTCTATTTTTTCACTTTCTTATTCAATTTTTTTCCTTTTGATCAATTTTTTTGTTCAACCATTTTTTTTTATTTAAACTTTTTTTTCTAACTTTTGTATTCATAAAATTCTTATTTTCAATTATTCGATTTTTCCTCTACTTTTTCAAATTTTTTTCTCAACATTTTTTTTCCTTTAAACTTTTTTTCTAACAAAAAAAATTAAATAATTGAAAATAAAAATTTTATGAATACGAAAGTATTCATAAAATTTTTATTTTCAATTATTCAATTTTTCAATTATTTAATTTTTCCTCTACTGTTTCCCTTTTTTTCTCAACATTTTTTTTTACATTAAACTATTTTTCTAACTTTTGTATTCATAAAATTCTTATTTTTGTCTTTGCAGTTTAAATTGAATTAAAAATAAATAAAACAAAATAAAGAAAAATGAATAAATTGAATAAAAGAACAATTTTTAAATTTAAACATCAAAAAACAAAAAAAAATCGTTAATAAATGCTATTAAAGAATTTTTATTTTTATTAACCAAATATTATAAATTGCAATTAATAAAATTAACATTTCTGAAAAGTTTCTTGTTTTTTATTTAATAATTAATAAAATTAATCAATATAATAATTTTTTCTTTCACCTGCAATCGTTGTTGATAATATCTGTCGATTAGAAGAGTTGTATCCATTTTATGATATTCAAGTCTTTCCTCGATATTTAAAAATATTTCACAGCGAATAATGTCGTAGGTCAAACCCTTTTCGTCCGCATAAAAGAAATTCACCAAATATTCAAGAGCCTCGTGAAGTCTTTCGTAAAATAGTGGCGGTTTATCCTGAAGTAAATAATAAAAATATAAATATTAACAATGAAAATATATGAAAATTAATATATAAATAATTTAAATGCGAAATAAGCGTAAATACTGTAAATACAAAATGAATATAAATAATTTAAATACAAAATAAATATAAATAATAAAAATACCAAATAAATATAAATATAATAAAAATACAAAATAAATATAAATACAATAAAAATACAAAATAAATTTAAATAATATTAATTCAAAATAAATATAAATAATAGAAATACAAAATAAAAATAAGTCATAATAAATAAAAAATAAATATGAATAATATAAATAAAAAATAACAAAATTGTATACTAAAAAATTAACAACACTGCATTAATTTAAATAGAAATCCTATTTTTGGAAATTAATAAAAATGAAAATTTCCAAAGACCAAAAGTTTTGAACGTTCGAATGAACGAAATTCTACCTCTTTTTTAAATGAAAAATTTAATTGTAAAATAAATTTGCGTCGAGTATAGAAAAATAAATTAGTTTCGAAATGTTTAATTTAAATTTTTTATTTCTACTGCAGTTGATAATAATTTTCAAAAATATGTAAATAGAAAAAATATTTCGTTCGCATTTGAACGTTCAAAATTTTTCGAGCAATAAATTTCCTCTCATCAAGTCAAAAAACTTTTTCTCTTGACGAGTTTAATAAATCGAAAATAAAAAATTTAATAATAAATAATTATTATTACCTCCTCATAGAGGAAGTATTTTGTTTATAAATAATAATAATTATTTCGTACATAAATAATGAAGATTTTTTGTATAAATAATAATTATTTCTTCTATAAATAATTATTTCTTGTATAAATAATAATTATTTTGTGCATAAGTATTAATTATCATTTCGTGTATAAATAATAATTATTTTGTGCATAAGTATTAATTCTAATTTCGAGTAAAAATAATAATTCATCGAAAAAAAAAAATAATTGTTATTAACATGAAATGAATTATTATTATTTATTTTTTTTTTTAGTAAAAATCGATCTTTACTGCTGCACTTCCGTCCATTTGATTGTAAAGCTCGCTCAATACCACTTCCCAAACGACTTGAAGCACTCGGGCAAAATTGGTTGATAATAAAGCCGAGTTAAGAGTCACCAGGTGTACATCTAAGTATTCCACTAGAGGTGCAATTGCCTCCGATGTTGGAAGACTGTCGGGCGACCATGCCAAATGAAACATTGCCTTCTTTAACGGCGGTCTCATCTGTAATTATTCAAATAATTATCAATTCATTATTCACCACATTTACTAATTTATCATAATTAATTAATTTTCACTTCAATTTTACCGTTATTTTTTATTTCCATCACCTTTTAATCACTATTTCGAAAATTTTCAAAATTCCATCTCAATTTATTAATTATTTTGAAAATTCTCCCAATAAGTATCAAGAGTATTTTCACTCATAATTGGAAAATACTTGGAATAAATTAATTTTCAATGGTATTTTCAAAATTCAGTATTTTCATTAAAATTTATTATTTTTATTTAAAGATTAATATCTTTCGAAAATTCATCAAAATTAATTCTCAATAATGTATTTTTTCGTCTTGAAAAGTTTGTAAATATTTTTTTAACCGAAAGTTTATTATTCTCGATAATTTCTTATTTTTACTACATTTTATTTCTCGAATGCAGACTAAAAGCATTTATTTGTTTACTAACTTAGTTTACTTATTTATTTAATTTGTTTATTTCCCCCCTTTTTCTTCATTTTGTTTCTATTCCTATCTTCATGGCACTTTGCACGAATAGCCAAAAATTATTTTGTTCTCTATTAAATGAATAAATTTCAGTAAATTAATTTCAATATTAATTAATTGCTTAATTGCAAGTAAATAATATGAAAAAAACTAAAAAAAAGAATACAAATAACAAAAGTAAAAAAACGAAAAAATCAAAAAAAAAATACAAAATTACAATTTTTATTAACGAACACCTTGCAAAGTTGAAGAGAGAATAACTTGGTGAAAAAAAAAGTTCAGACTCTCAACAAAAAGTTTCAGTTATATTTATCTATGTAATTGAATTTTAAACTCGATGTCGTGTGTATTTATTAACGGATAAAATGAAATTACTTGCCTTTGCCCCAGTTCGTGAGATAATTTGATTAATAAAAAGCATCATTTGTCCCAATGTTTGTTCCAAGGGTGAAATCATTGTGTGTCGCCATTGAAGGAAAACAGCTTCGGCCGCCTGTCCCTCCAAGGTCGCAAACAGATCCTCAATATGCAACATTTCCCCCAAATTTTCCAGCCATCTTCTCACATATTCCAATCCATTCACCGACACGCAAATCTAAATCGAAATTTATTTATTTTTAATTTCTTAATTTTCAATCTATTACACAGTAAAACGTGAGGTGTTAAAATAACACCAGAATGCGGATTAAAATAATCTACAACAGTTTAATCCCTCTAGGATTGAAATAACACCAGAAAGGATTAAAATAATCTATTTTGGTGTTATTTTTAACTATGAATGAGATTTTACTTTAAATAAAACACCAAAGTCAACGATTTGTAAAAATTCAACGAATTTAGCTTCTCCAGAGAGAATAATAAGTTTGTAAGTTAGTTTCTAACTTACTAACTAACTTAGTTACATAGTTGCTAAATTCAATTGTGTTCAAAAATTTAAAAAAAATTCTCGTCAAAATATTAATTTTCTTTATAAATAAAGTTGTCGAAATGTTTTCGTTCTATTGACTTATTTTATTCAATAAAATTCTTCTCTGATATTCAATTATTTTACAAAATTTTAAACAAATTCTTGTCAAAATTTCAATTATTTTCAAAACTTTTCTAAAATCTAATATATTTTCAATATCTACTATTTCAAAAAAATTTTCCAAAAGAATTCCATTATTAAAAAAAAATTTGAATAAAATTCTACACAAACATTCAATTATTTTCATAAATAATAAAAATTTTTACAGGAATTCAATTATTTACAATTTTTTTTTATAAATTTCTTCGCAATAATTCAATTATTTTCATAAATAATAACATTTTTACAGGGATTCAATTATTTTTATAAATATTAAAATTCTTTTAGGAATTGAATTATTTTCATAAATAATAAAACTCATTGCAGAATTTCAATTATTTTTAATGCAATTTTAATCGAATTCCTCGAAAAATGTAATTATTCTTAAAAATTTTATTAAAATTCGTCCAAAGAATTTAATGATTTAAAAAATTTGTTGATAACATTTTTTATGAGAATTTAATTTCAAGAAACATGAAATTTATAAATTATTTATTTGCATTTTATTTGTATTTAAATAATTGAATTCTCGTAGAATTTACTAATAAAAATGGTTTTAAAAATGAATTTCAGTTAACATTTTAGATTATAATTAAAATATTAAATATTAAAAGTATTTTAACGTGGATTTTTAGAAATAGTTAAATTTCGAAAAAGTTTCAAACTAAAATCATTGAAATTCTTAATTTTTCATATTTTTGACAAAAAATTCTGTAGAATTAATTCTTTTTAAAAGTTTAATAGGATTTTTCATTGAAATTATTTCAAGTTTTTATTTTTTAATATATATTTAATTGCAGAAATTCCGAATAATTGAAATTTTGTAAAATTAAATTGTAAACGAATGAATTTGAAAATTCTCATAAAACTCATCGCAGCGTTTCAATTATTTTTCATACATTTATAATTAAATTCCTTGAAAAAAGTAATTATGTTCATGCAAGTTTTAATAAAATTCGACAAAAGAATTCAATTATTTAAAAATTTGTTAATAAAATTCTTTATGAGAATTCAAATTTGAGAAACATTCAATTATTCCATAAATTATTTACTTTTGCATTTAAATAATTAAATTCTTGTAGAATTTTCTAATAAAAATTGATTTTCATTTCATAAAAATGAATTTCAGTTAAAATTTTAGATTATCATTGAATATTAAAAGCAATATAGCGTGAATTTTTAGAAATAATTGAATTTTGAAATTAATTTTTTTTAAAAAGTTTAATTAAATTTTCTTTTATATTATTTGAAGTTTTTATTTTCTAATATGCATTTAATTAAAGAATTTAGAAATAATTGAAATTTCGAGAAATTGAATATTGTAAACAAATGGATTTGAAAATTACCAAAGAACTTTTTCGAAAATTACTAAAAATAATAGATATAAAGTAAAATTGTAGTTAAAAATTTTTGAAAATAATAATTGAATTGAAATAATGAAAATAATTTTGAAGAAATATAATATTCTTATAATATAAAATAATGATTTTATTACTTGATCATCTTTAATTATTATAAAATATGAAGAAATCGATAACTCCGAGTCGAAGACTCGGAGTTATCGGTATCTTCATGTTTTATACTTATAAAAAAATTTAATGAACTAAAATTTCATTCATTGTAAAAAATAACTCCAAAATTAATTATTTTAATCTTTTTTGGTGTTAATTTAATCTGCAACACTTTTTAATACCTCACGATTTACTATGTTATTAATTAATTCATTCATTAATTCATTCATTGTAAAAATACAATAAAATGTTATTAATTTTAAATTTGTTAATTTATTTGTTAGTTGTAAATAAATTCTAATTTAATGAGTAGATAATAAATATTAATTTTTATTTTTTATTTAATATTTTATTAGATAATAAATTATTTGCTAATAATTATTAATTTTAGCGATTTAAAATTTTCAATTGACCGGAATTTTGTTAAATTTACAAAAGGCCTTTATATCTTTTCTAACTCGATGAATATTTTAGACTAACAAAATTGTTCTGCATTTTGTTGAGAATGACAGCAATGTGACAATTTCGTTATAATTAAATTAAAAGCTACTTAACTATCAAGCATTAACAAGCTTTACTAAAAGCAGTGGTAAAGTTTACTAAAGCAGATACATTTACTACCTGTGCATTTACCTCGTCAGTCGTTTTATAAGGACCCTGATCATCGTAATAACCTGAATCAGCTAGTTTTTGATGTGTCAGTTCAGCATAATAACTTGCGCAAGTGCAAATTGCCTGTAAAATATGTAATTAATTAATCCTCATGTGTAAATAAATTCAACTCTCAATGCGCAAGCAAAAATCTTCATTACATTTTTTATATTTTATTTTCTACTTATATTTCATATATTTTTTCATATTTTTCATATTTTTTATATTTTTTATATTTTTTCTATTGTTTTATATTGTTTTATATTTTTAAAAATATTTTTTATATATTTTTTTAATTTTTATGTTTTTATATTTTTCATATTTCTTATATTTTTCATATTTTTTACATTTTTAAAATATTTTCCCCACTTTTTTCCATTATACATATTGAAGATTTCAATTTATCAAAATATTTTATATTTTAATTTTATTCGTTTGCTTTCTGCTTTTGATCACTTACGTCAACAACTTTCAATACGAAACTGTATGATCCTGGGATATCCGGCCATTCGAGTTGATTCCAAAATTCTTTCAACTGGAATTAAAAAAAATTTAATTTAAAAATTACATAAAAAAAATATAATATCGTAATTGGAAATTTTTAATTACAGATTTTAAAGTTTTCGGCCACATTGCGTGCAGTAAAGTAAATTATTATTATTTTAATTATTGTCATTGTTATAACTCTTTATTATTATCATTATTTTCATTATATAAACATTTTTTTTTAAATTCTTCAACAATTTACTTCAAGTTTAAGGTTTATAATTTAGAAATCAGTAGTACAAGTCAATTGTACAGTTAGGTTTTGATTAGAATTATGTATTCAGTAGTAATAACCTGTTTAAGTCAGACAAAAATTTTTACGGACAAACAGTTTTACTTACTAACAAAAAAAAAAAATCAGTAGTAAACGTAAAATATAGTCAGACTGCGAATAGAATTAAATAATACAATATTCAGTAGTAAAGATCAGTTATAATCAAACATTTTAATTTTTAAAAATTTTTTGAAATACTTTTAATAGTAAAAATGAATCTAAAAGCCTATAATTATAAAACGAGTAGTACAAGTCAATTATATAGTCAGGCTTTGAGTAAAATTTAGATAATTCTGTATTCAGTAGTACAAAAAAATTCCAGTCAGACTATTTATTAAAAATTGTCTATTATAATTTTTTTTATTGTTTTTTGTTTTCATTGATTAACAATTATTATTTTTTTTTGTTTTTAAATAAAGAATTTAGAAGAAATAGAGTTTAGAATCAAATCAAGAGAGCTTGATTCTAGATTAGATAAAAAATTTGAATAATTTTTGATGAAAATTTATTAGAACAGTTTTTGATGAAAATTTAACACGTGTTTATAAACTATATGAAATTTGTGTGAGTTTTAGATTATATGTTTAAATTGACTTTTGAGTTGTTGAAATTTACCTGATCAAAGCACGAAATAGCGTCAATTGCTGATGTGCAATGTTTCACTATATATTCACCAGTACATATTCTATCCAATTCTGATGCCCTTCTCACTCGCTGCATTGCCTTCAACTTTGCTAAATCCAACCACTTATCAACCGCTGGTTTGAACCACTCATAGTACTTGCAAATGGCCAAAGTTTTATGATCAGATTGCGGCAGGTATCTCTTCATTCTGATAAGAAAAAAAAACAATAGAAAAGTGGATAAAAAAAACAATGAATTTTTTATTTGGAAATTTACCATTTTTAAATTAAAGCATTATTTCAAATAAATAATATTTAAAGTATAATTTATAACGTGTATAATACTTATAATTTATAATATTAATAAATAATATTTCCAATAATTAATTTTGAATTCATAGATAAAAAGTAAGTCACTAGTTATTTAAAATAATATCCTTAGGAAATTTGTCTATTAATAAAAGATTAGAACAACAAAAAAATTAATAAAAAAAACCTAATATAACAATTAAAATAGAGCAAAATAATAAAAAAAAACAATTATTAAGTAAAGAAATAAGAAAAAGTAACAAAATTAATAATAATTAATAATAAATTTAGCATTAAATATTTGTGAAAATATTAAATTGCCTTGTTTTGTTTACGCATGGTTTAGAATGGCAAACCTATTTTTCATTAAAAATTTATATTGACAATTTAATGAAGAAAATTGGCTCACTTCATGAATTCCTGAAGTGCTAAATAAAGTTCGAAAATAGGAGTTCCAATTTCAGCACCAGGAGGTAAAACGTAATCTTCTCTATCCTGAGCGTGTATTTGTAAACAAGCTGTTGTCACCCTAGCTCCAAGTTCATCATGCATCTATAAATTTTAATTAGAAAATTCATCATCGCAATCTTTTATTTGAAAACAAGAAAATCAATATCAAAATTTTTTATAAATTATTTCCACCACTTCTGAGAAGAAGATTCGAGAAAAAAAGCAAAAAAATAGTAGTAGGAATAGTAGTAGTAGTAGTAGTAGTAGTAGTAGTATCTATTATAAATATAGTATCTAGACTAGTATATAGACAAGCAAGTCTATATAGAGAGATAAAATAATTTTAGAAGAAAACAGAAATTAAAAAAAATCCACTCTTGATAGAAAATTACAAAATTTTCATTCTTTTCATTTTTTTTTAATATAAAGCTTTTGTTAATTTTGTTCTTTTAGCAAAATAACGATGATTTTTTTGTACTGCTCTTTTAGTATGCAGCTCATGCAATTAGAGAATAAAGCTCAAGCTTTTTTTGTTCGTTACTTAAATTGTAAACATTTTTTAGTTTTTTTTTTTAATTACTTCTATGAATTTATCTACAATTCCTTGAATATTTTATAGAAAAAAATCTCTCTTATTCTGAAATAAATAGAAAATTCTCATTTTTTTGAATTTATGTAATTTTGGATATAAATTTAGTAGTAAAAGTTAATATTTGTCAGACAGTGACAGACAAATAGTTTTTAGATTCAGTAGTAAAGATCAGTTATGGTCAGTCATTTAAATTTCTTAAAATTTTTAAAAATAATTTTAAACACTATTTACTTTTACTCTAAAGTTTATAATTCAGAAATTAGTAGTAGAAGTCAATTGTACAGTCAGACTGTGATTAGAATTCTGTATTCAGTAGTAATAACCAGTTTAAGTCAGACAAAAATTTTTATGGACAAATTGTTTCACTTGTTAGAAGAACTCCAATAATCAGTAGTAAAAGTCAATTATAGTCAGACTAGGAATATAATTTAATTCTATATGCAGTAGTAAAGATCAGTTATGGTCAGACGTTAAAATTTCTTTTAATTTTCTGTAATACTTTAAAATTTTAACTCTGTTTACTTCCATCCTACAGTTTATTATTTAAAAATCAGTAGTACAAGTCAATTGTTCAGTCAGACTGAGATTAGAATTTGTTGTTCAGTAGTAATAGTCATTTTAGGTCAGACAAAAAATATTATAAACAAATAGTTTTACTTGTTAACAGTGATGTAATTTGACTTAATAAAATCAGTAGTAAAAGTAAATTATAGTCAGACTGCGAATAGAGTAAAATAATTTAATATTCAGTAATAAAATATCAGTAATTATCAAATATTTTTGTTTTTAAAAATTTTAAAAATACTTTTAATAGTACAAAGTAATCTAAAAGCCTATAATTTTAAAACGAGTAGTACAAGTCAATTATATAGTCAGGTTTTGAGTAAAATTTAAGTAATTCTGTATTCAGTAGCTAAAGTTTGTAAAAAACAGACTTAAATTTTTATGACACAAACAGTTTCAGTTGTTAAAAGTAATAAAAATTTGTCTACTTTGAGAATCAGTGGTAAAAGTCAAATATAGTCAGACAACTTTTCATGAATTTTTATAATTTAATTTTTTTTCATTTTGTAATTTTCTTTTATTTTTTTCTCATACTTAACTGATATAATTTTTTTTTCTTTGAAAATCAGTAGTAGAAGTCAATTATATAATTTGCAAATAACACTCGATTCAGTAGTACAAGTCGGTTTAAGTCAGACACAAAAATAATATCAAATAATTTTCAGCTCTTTTCAGGGATTTAAATTTTAATTTAAAAATCAGTAGTAGAAGTCAATTATATAGTCAGACAATGCTTTTAATTTGCAAATAACACTCGATTCAGTAGAACAAATCAGTTTATGTCAGACACAAAAATGGAAACAACCAATTTTATTCCTTCCAAGTGATTTAAATTTTAATTCGAGAATCAGTAGTACAAGTTAATTGCACAGTCAGACTTCGATTTCAATTTGCATAACACTCGTATCAGTAGTAGAAGTCAGTGTAAGCCAGACATACAAATAAAAAAAACAATTTTCATTGTCACCAGTGATTTAAAGTCTAATTCCAGAATTAGTAGTAAAAGTCAATTATTAGTCAGACTTTCCAATTTTCTAAACATATTCCTAAACAAAATATTGAAAGAAGATTTTTTTAATTTTTAAATTATTAAAAAAAAGACATTATGGAAGAAATCCTCTCAATCTGGATTAATTAACTTCATTTTAAATTAAACCAAACTTTTCTTACAAAAAAAAAATAAAATCCAAGCGAACGAAAGTACATAAATAAACATTTTCTTCTGAACAATAAAATCGAAAATGAAAGCTTTAAAACTCATCGGTCCTTCTGTTTACCTTTATATATATATAAATATATTTACCCTTAGTAAAGTGAGTGCTTTTGCATATATGCAAAAATATCTCTTCATTTAACATTCTATTGATTATATTTCATCCAATAAAAAATGTTATATTTGCAAATTTATTCCAAAAAAAAATTTTTTTTTCATGAATTGTTAATTAAAAAAACAATAATTACATAAATAATTCGCGTACATGAAAAAAAATGAAACAAAAGATGATGAATTATAATTCAATTTATTTTTTTTCTCCATGTAATTTTTTTAAAATAAAAAGTTTTTAAATTTAAAAAAAAAACTGTATCGAATCCTAAAGAAAAATTATTATTAAATATTAAAACAAAAAATGGAAGTAAACAATTTGTTTCAAAAACAAAAATTTTCCAAACGAATCAGAGGAAGAAATATAGAGAAAGTGCGTCAGTCTTTACTTTCTAAAAAAAAAAAAAATTATGACAATAAAGCAATTATGGAAATATTGCGATAGATTAAGATAAAACTAATTAGAAACACTAATTAATAAGAAAGTAGAGCACTATATTTCTTTAATTCTTTTTTTGTGATAGAAAGTTGCATTATTTTTTTCTAATTTCCTGTTATAAAGTTCAGTAACTAATTGCACTTTGAGAAAGTGGTGGAAATTTACTGAGGCATACACTAACTAAAAGTGTCAGATAAATAGTAGAGATTTTGTGCAATAGGGAAATAAATATTAGAATTTAGAATCATACATTTCGGATTTTAAAAGCAAATTCCATTAATATAAGCGTAGCTTATAGTAAATTAGTCCAATTATTTTAATAATTATTAATTTCTAAGCGACGTTTCAATTTTACTATATATGGGGAAACTTTTCTCTAATAAAACTAAATTGTAAAATTAAACTATAACTATTTATTAATTATAACGAGTCTTACTTTTCCTAAAGTTTATTATTTTTTTATTTTGCAAAAGCTACTTAAGCTGCTAATGAATTATAAAATATTTCAGAATTTGTTTTCAAAGTATTTTCAATTTTTTGTAATTTTAAAAATTTTTTAATTTCAATTCTTTTTTGATTTTCTATTAAATTCCATAATTAATGATTTTAATATGTAATTTTCCATAAATAATATATTTCAAATATTTTAATATATTTTCCTTAATTAGTGTATTTTAATATATTTTTCATATTTAGTAGATTTTTCAAAATTTTTATATATATTTCCTGTAATTAGTATATTTTCCATAATTATCATATTTTTTTATAATGAATACAATTAATATAATTATTCGTATTAAATATATTCAACATAATTATACATTCTCGAAAACTTTAATTATCAATTTTTCATCAACTCTCTAATAACTTCCCAAATATTTAAATTCTTTATTCCGGATAAAAATAATTTTCATATTATAAATATTTGAAAAAATATTTTTTTCTCCCCCCCTTAAAAAAATGGGGGGAGAAAAAAATTCTTCTACTTAAAAATCTTCAATCGAACGTTTATTGTGTTACTTGTATATCGAGAGAGTATATTTAAAAAAAAAACAAAGCATCAACGAAGGACAATTTTTTTATTCTCAGGACTCATCAAAAGAGGGGAAAAAAAATTATAAAAAAAAAGAAAATAGAAAATAAAAACCATAAAAAGAAATATGTCAAAGTTCGAAACAATGTCTAGTAAAATTTTCAATAGTTCCCTCTGTTATAAAAATGCTTCATAAAATGAAGTATTCTGACAAAAAATAAGAAAATAGATTAACTTTTTTTTTTTCGTCCGACCGTCTATTCAATTATTCCTTGAAATGTCCTTCGGGTACTTTGCAGTATCGGAAACGCAATTGAGGCTTTGCGCAGTTCATGCGATACAAAGTGAATTGCACAGTGTTTCATGCTAGTGGCTGTTTAACAATATAAAAAGTATTTACACACACACACAGAGACAGAAAGAAAAAAATCAGAAATTATATACTTTTTGTGCATTTGTAAATTTCATGCGAGAAAAAAAATTATTTATAAAATCGAGAGCAGTATTTGCAAATGTATTGGTTTAATATTACGAATTCCCCGAGACTTATTCACTTCGGTACCAATTTTTTTTCCATTGACAATAATTAAATCACTGTTGGGAATTTTTGAAATTTTTACTATAACTTTACTTTATTACAATTAAATAATAAATAATAATAATTTTTTTTTATTTTCTTATCTCAAATTTGTATTAAAAAATATTTATTAAAACTTTATTTTATTTATTTTATTTAGTTTATTACCTTGACATTTTTAATTTTATTCAATTATTATTATACTTCATTATTTAATTTTTCATTTACTTTCAAATTTTTATTTTTATTCTACAAATTATTATCTAAAAAAATTTTTTAACTTTTAATAAAAAAATTTACTTTTAAAAATAGTGTCACTATTCAAAAAAAAAAATAAAAAGAAGGAAAGAAACTTTAAAGAAACTCTTTTAAGTTCTTAAAGAAATTTCCAAAAAAGTTTTAAAAAAGTTTTAAAAAAGTTACGAAAAAAATATATTTTAAACTATAAAAATTGTACTTTTAAAATTAGCTTCAAATGTTTAAAAAAATTAGCTACTCAGAAAAGAAAAAATATTGCCAAACGGTGAAAAAAATGGACTCTTTAACAGACGAGTGTTAAAAAGAAACGTTCAACATTGATTTCAATGTGAAAAAGGAAGGAAAAAAAATTCCGTACATTTTTTTGCGAAAAGAAGACTGTTTTAAATTCTGGACAAGTCACAATTGTGACTATAAAATGTTTAGAATGAAGAAAGTTTCTTTTCAGTTTCTCGTCAACGAAAATCTTCAGAGCCTCGAGCATTCGCAAAAAAAAGATTGGATATATACTTGGAAATCTATGTCTCCTTTTTCCTCTATACTAACAAGGAGTTTTTGAAAAAAGATTATTTGTATTCGTCTACGTATACATATAACACTATTCACTAAATTCGTCACAAAAAAAAAAGAAGGAGAAAAAATATATATAAGAAAAACATTCTAGAATTCTATTTTTTGAATTTACAAGAATAGAAATATTCCATGTAGTGATCTTTCTCTCCCTCGAGAAAAATATTATTATAAAACCGTATTTTTTAAATTACTATACTCAATTTTTTTTAAAAATGGTATTTTTTCGGAAATTATAATTATTTAGAAGAAAATAAATTCTCTTCCACGATTTATATTATTTTATATTAGTAACGATTCAAAAATTATTATTTAGCAATAGTTCATAATTATTTTATAATAATAACAAATTTTAATTATAATTAAAATTTTATTTTATTTTATTTTTTTGAAATCTTTTAAAATTTTATTTTTTAAAAAGTTTTTATAAAAATTTAATTATAATTAAAATTTTCAACATAAAAAAAATGTGCATACGCAGACGATAGTGTAGAAGATGATAGAGATACTTTGAGAGAGTATAATAGAGAAATATATATTATCGATGCAAGAGAGATAAAAATTATTATTTTTTTTTTTTTTTGGAAAATGTAGAAAAAATTGAAAAAAATTTCTTATTTTTTTGGGTCTATCAAAAGTACCTCGGACGTGTTCTCCATGTGTTTCGCCACGTGTTCCGCCAGCTATGAACAAACATAGTCAAGTGTAGAGTGACATCACTATGACCGGAAAGCTTTTTTACACAAAATTTTAATTTAAATATTTATTAAAAAAACAAACAAAATAAACAAATAAATATGACACACTGAAAAAAAAGAGAAGTAATTTTCTCAGCCTTCAGGTCATTGAGATTTTTTGCATTGTAGTCATTTTTATGTTCTGAATCAACATGTTCTGTATATATAAAAAAGACGCCGACCGTAATTATTTTAACACTTAGATTAATATTAAATAAAAATTAAAAGTGGAAAAAATTTTTTCCTGTTAAAATATTTTCCTAATTCATTTTTTCACCACAAAATAAAATTTGCTTCTGCACTTTTTTAATCATAAAATTTTCTTAAACCATAATAGTAATAAATAAATGAAATACCAGAGCAAAAATCACTTCTAAATTATTCAAATCAAAAAAAGTTTTATAAATTAATAATAATAATAAATAAATAGAAAAATTTGATTTTATAATCAGACATTTTTTCAAAATTAACAGTATAATTATAATTAAACAAATAAAATTTAAAAAAATACAAAAATTTACTTCTAAATTTTTCTAATAAAAAATTTTCTTTAAATTGACAATCTAATTAAAATAAACAAATAAAAATATAAAAACTTTGCTTCTAAATTTTTTAAATCAGAATTCTGCAAATAAATAATGTAATTATAATAAATAAATAACACAAACAAATTTTCTTCTAAATTTTTCCACTAAGAAAATAATTTAGTTTTCTAAATTTCGTTGAGAAAAATTTTTTTTGACTTCTAAACAAAATATCAAAATTTAGTAAGAAGAAGAATTATTCCTTCTCCTAAATCTCTGCAATTAAAAATATTTTTGTCAATATAATATAATAATTTTCACAAACAATTAATATAATTAATATTAAATAATATTTTTAAAAAAGTGAAAAACAAATTTCTAAACAAAATAATAATAAAAAAGACTCTGTATTATCAAAATTAAAAAAATTTCTTTTGTTTATATTTATAATTTATATACGATTCATTGTGGAAAAAAATTCGAAAATTAATTCTTATCAACAATTTTTGTTTTTAACGCAAAGGAAAAAGAGAGCAGATGGGAAAAAAATAAACTTATTCACTGTAATGAAATAAAAGAAAATATTACACCTCCTTTCTAAAAATGAATTTAATTCCCTCTATCATTGTATACATATATATTTATTTTTTTTTCGAAAAAAAATAAAATCTTCCATATATACTGCGAAAGAGTGAAAATTTTATTTCAAATAAAATGAGCCATCAGAAGCTCCAATTTGTTGCACTAGAATGGCTTTTGTATTTTCAAATCCTTTTAAAATTTTATATACACAATGAAATCCTTTTCTATATTCAAAAAAACTGACAAATATAGTTTTTGCAAAAAAAAAAAAATAAAAATGAATTTATAGTCCTTTTTTTACAAATTGTAATGAAAATTTATTACCTTTCACAAAGAGAATTTTGCAAAGAAATTTCTCTTCTTTTTGCGAAAGGAATTTGATATTTAAAAAATAGTGACTTAGTAGAAAAAAAGTAAAATCTATTCCAAAATTATGATTTATTTATTTTGTAGGTATTTATTATTACGTTTTAATTAATTATGTTAATATAATATTTAAAAATTTTTGTTACAATATTATATTTCTTTATACAAAAAAGTAAAAAATTATTAAATAAAATATAGTATAAACTTATAAAGTAATATCAATTCAAATAAAAATCAGAATTTTCTTCTTTCGTAGAATTAAAATTCTTTCTCATCCACAAAATTGCATAAGACTAAAATTTCTTTATTTAATTTTATTACTTTTTCCCTTTCATAAATCGTATATTTTTTCTTCTTCCTTTGCGTTAATTTTATATTCAAAAAAAGGCTTTTTCAAAATTTCTCTATATATGTATAAATACATATTTATATATTTAAATATATAAATATGTATTTATACATATATAGGGATTTAATCAAAAAAATGATCGACGTCACAAGTTATAAAGCGTAAAAGCCAAACATAGCACACCCAGCTTGATGAGACAGTGATAAAATGTACGCCCAGTGTGTCGTTGCGTGATAAACTGCGAAAATGTTTCGCGTGAGAGTTTCTCTTTTCAAATTTATTTTTGACTAAACTTTTACTTACCAGCTTTTCCAACTGCTTATAAACGGCCGAGAAATAGGGTACTCCGTTCGTGCTGCAAATAAAACGTGCATTTTTAGTTTGTTAATGCTATTAACTTTATGTAAAAAAAAAAAAAAAAAATTGAAAACAGCTCTTTCAAATGATTACTGAATTTCATTTATTATGTTAATTTCGAAAAATAAAATTATTTTCCAAATGAAAACTTCAATTAATTCCATCTTGAAATTAAATTTATTTCCATTTGGATATTGAATTAGTTTTCAACTAAAAATTAAAATTATTTGCAAGAACAAAAATTTACCAAGTTAAAGTCCACAACGTTGATCAACGAAAAAAAAATTTTCACTTAGTAAATTAATTAAAAATGACGCAGCAATATTGACACAAAAATATTTAGAAAAAAAGATTAATGTTCATATTTTGTTAATAATTATTTTACAATTAAATATTAAATTAAAAATAATACTTGAATGCATTAAATAAATTTTTTTCGTTGATAAACGTTGTGGACTTCAACTTCGTAAAAATTTTAATTTATTTCTAATTAAAAATTGGTATTTTTATTTTTAATTATTTTTATGATTATTGTCAATTTTTTTCATTTGGAGATAAAAATTATTCCGAATTAAAAATTATAACTGTTACGAATCAAAAATTATTGTTATTAATTATTATTGGAAATTTTTTTCATCTGTAAATTAAAGTTATTTTGAATTGAAAATGACAATTATTTTCATTGGAAAATTAAAATTAATTATAATAAAAAATATAATTATTATTATTATTAGTTCCAGTAAAAATATTTTACGAGATTTTTAGTTGGAAAAAATGAAGAATGAATGAACCGAATTTCTAAACAGTCGTACAAAAAGTACGTTCAGAAATTCTTTAATGAATGGATTTTGCAATTAAGGTACAAGAATCTCTTGATGTCCTCGTGCAAAAATGACGCATGCGTAGGACTTCAAAACATTTCTGCATTGTACTTGAAGGATAAGAGGCGCAAAAGAGGTCAAATGTATGTACTTTGATAAATAAATGTTTTTTTGTTCACAAAACAAGTAAAAAAAAAAAAAATAATAATGTTCCTCTCAAATGCAATCTATTATTCAAACTTAATTGAAAACTTTTAATTGAAATTAAATTTTTAAAAAACTAATTAGAAATAAAAAAAAAACTGTTGACTGCAAAACAAAATTCAATTGTCACTTGAATAATCAAAATAAAATTTTTGACAAAAATTTAATTTTTAATTTTTAATTTTTAATATGATTTATTATTCTTTTAATAAATTTAATTTAGTATAATAAATTTAAGTTAGTTTAATTAATTTAATAGAATTTATTATAATTTAATAGAATTTAATTAATTTGATAGAATTCAATAGAATTTAATTATGTAATATAATAGAATTTAGTTAAATTTAATATTATAATTTAATTAATCTTCCTTCTTAATTTACGATAAAAATTAAAATTTCAGTTTCTAATCAACTTATAGAAATTTAGAAAAGTAATGAAATTATTTTTTTATTTACTAAGTAGGCGGTAAAAAAATTGTTATTTAAATTCGAATAATATTTATTTCGAAGAAATAGAATTTCATAAAGAAAATAATCATTGTTAAAAAAGAAAACTAGTTGTTAAATTAAACTCAGCACCAATTACAAGCGAAAGAAGTTCAATTTAAGATAAAAAAAAGAAAATGCCAGAAAGAATGAACATTTGATTTAATTTAGTTACGAGTAATTTAATTTCTTAAAGCAGAATGTCTCGAATTGTTCCTCTTATTATAGTTGTCTTCATTTGGCTAATAGTTTATTCCATCAACTCTATTTATTTTCATTTAAAACTATTTTTTATTTCAATAAAATAATTTTTTTCCATTCTCATTATTTTTTTACCATTTTTTGTCATTTTTCTTTTTTTATTTCTTTCTTTTTAACAAATTTTATTATTATTATTTTACTTATTTTATTCACTAATTTATTATTTTTGAAAATATTTTTATGAAAACAGATTCAACTTTCGTTGAAAAAAGAAAATTCATTTGAATTTTCTCTTCACTTATTTTTTTTTTTTTTTTTGTAGAGAAAAAGAAAATTGAGGAAAAATCTCAAAGTCCTGATTTGCAAATAATTTAAAATTGTAATTTAATGCAAAATGCTAATTCAAATTGAATATTGTGGTTTGGAAAGAAAAACTTACTGTTCGAAAAGGCTATTGTAGTAAATTTGACCCTGTTCAAGATCCACTAATAGAGCAGTCACTAAATTCGTAAAATCCTGAAGGACTCTATCTTGATCCTGATCTGGCTCTTGATCACGTCCCATAGTTTGCTGCCTCGTTTCCTGATACCTTTTGAAAAACAAGAAAATTCACACAAAATTTCTCTCTATCCGCTTTCAAAATTCAATTCACGAATATTTGTTCAAAAATTAAATTTATTTACAAATTAAATTTATTCCAAACTGAAATTTATTCAAATCTGAAAAATTATTATTATTTATTTAAAAAAAAAAACAAAATTTCCAAATTAAATTTATTCAAAACGGAAAATCTTTCAAAAACAGAAAATTATTATTATTTATTTTGAGAAACAAATTTATCCAAAAATCAAAGTTATTTATTAAAAAAAAAGACTTATTAACTCTCTAAAAAAAACTAATTCTTTTATTACAGAAATAATTATCTTCACTTTACTATAATTATCCTTATTTTACTTTTTATAAAAAATAATTATTTTTATTACTGTAAAAATAATTGTATTTACTTTCTTTTTTAAAAAATTAATAATTTTTATGTCAATTTTTAAATAAAATTAATTAATTAGTGAAGTAATTCATTTATTTAGAAATAATTCCTTAGTTTGAAAATAAATTTCTTTACTCTAAAAATAATAAAAGACGTTTTGCAAAGTAAAATAAAAAAAAATAATTTTCAAACTAATTATAAACTGAGTGAATTAATATTTTTTCTCAACTATTAATTATTGTCAACTTGATAAATTAATAAGCTTTTTAAGTATCAAAATATCGCGAGAAGAACTTTTACCAGGTAGATTTATGATTTAATTTTGGACTCATCGTTGCGTAAGATTTTGATGAAAATAATCTCAACAGTTCGCTATCATCTTGCGGTTGGACTTGATAACTTTAACTCCTTTTGCTCAGGAAACAAAGGAGATCGAAAACTTTCGAAATGCCCGTACACTGCTTTTGAAACTTGAGCTCAAGAAATAAACTTTTTTCAGAAGAACAAAGTTTCATTTTTGTCTCCCAAAAAAAAAAAAAAAAAAAATTTCTTTTTTCCTTCCAATCTTTTTTGATTTTATTAACATTTAAAGAAAAGAAAAAAAGAAATGTTTAAAAATAAAGAAATATTTTTCAAAATGTTAAATATCGCGAGTGTTCAGAAGTCGATAAAGATTTTTTTTTCTCCCCTACTATTTTTATTATACCCACCATTCAAGGGTTCCTTTTCTAAGGGCCGTTATTATCTCCCAACGCATCTCTTTGTTGAAGGGACAGCACTTTCTGTAAGCTGACATTATCGACAAAAGACCGAGGCACCTGTTAACGAAAAAGAGAAAGAGAGCTTTTCAAAAAATTTCCCCAAAATAGTGGAAAACATTTTTTATTAATAATAAAATATATAAATATAAATGTTATAAATAAATTTAAAAAAATATAAATATAATGAATAAACAAATATAAATATAAATATTATGAATAAATAAATAATAATAATGAGTAATTTAAAAAAATGATAATTAAAAATAATTCTAAATAAATCTAAAAGAAATCAAATGGTTTTTCAAATGTTCAAAATTGAAAATATATTAATAATAAATATATTTTAATAAAAATATAAATTATATAAATTAAATAAATAAATAATAATAAATAGTTAAAAATGATAATTGAAAATAAATCTGAAGGAGATAAAATATATTTTCGATTATTTGAAATTTTCTCCAGTTAGAATTATTTTTTTATTAACAGTTTAAAAAAAATTAAAAAAAAATTTTTTTATGAATAGAAAAAAATATTTCGTTTGTGATTGATAAGAATAAAAAATGAGAAATTCAATTTTCTCTCTCTCACACATGTTGTAGTACACAAACATACCTCAGAAGATTATCAAGTTTTGAAATTGCTGGTTGATGGAGAGGAGGAAATAGAACTCGATGCTGTCGAACCTTTTTTAATGTCACGTCCAAAAATGCATTAAACGAGTCTGCCAAATATTGTACTTCCTCTATAGAAAGTTCATTCGGATGCCACATATTTTCTATATCCTAAAATTTCAAATAATTCAAATTCACATATTTTCAATGGAAATAAATAAATAATGAAAATAATTTCATTTTCTTTGGTCTTACAGTAAAAATCCAAAACAACAGAAAAAATAATAATAAATAGTAAAATAATAATAAAAAATTAACAATCGGAATTTATCGCAAAAATTTTTCATTAACTTTCAAATATTATAAACTAATAAAATAAAAAAAATTCTTATTAATTAATTATTAATTCTTATTAATTAATTATTAATTATTATTAATTAATTATTAATTCTTATTAGTTAATTATTAATTCTTATTACAGATGTAAGTAATATAAAGTAATTTTAGTAAAAAAAAATTTTCCTAAGACCTGTGTAATTTTTAATTTATCATAATTTTTCTGAAAATGTGTCAAACCTGAAGGAACCTATAAAGAGTTTTTGGATCTACTGAAGATTGTCTTGCACTTGCAACCCATCTAACGATTGCCTGTTGTAGGTCAGTGATGTCACCCTGAACCGCATGTTGATGCAGAATTGTCATTGGAATTTGTGATAATTCTCCATTAAAGTCTTTCTGTTAGGACAATAATTAATTATATTTCTGTAAAATTACTAATTAATTATGGAAAATATTACAAATATGGGAGAATAATTTTCCTTTTTTCAGGAAATAATAATTCCTATAGGAATAAAGTTATTTTTCACTAAAATAATATTTTCTACTCTCTAAATTTGAATTAGTAAAAATGTTTACTAATTCGAATTAGTGACTGACTTTTTGCTTTTGAATTAGTAAATTTTACTGTTTAATAGTTATTTCTACTAATTTATTAGTAAAATTTACTAATTCAAAAGCAAAAAGTCAGTCACTAATTCAAATTAGTAAACATTTTTACTTATTCAGATTTAAAGAGTAGTACAAGAATAAAATTATGTTTCACAAAAATAAATTATTATTTTAATAATTTATTTTAAATTCTGTACTAGAATATTCAATTATGACTTGAAAACTTTAAATATTAATTATTAATAATAATTTTAACAAGAATAAAGTTAATTTTCTAAAAAAGTTACATTTTCTATACGAGAATAAAACTGATTTTTACGAAAATAATAATTTACACTGTAATATTAAATATTAATTGTTACAAAAATAATAATTCTTATGAGAATATTAATTTTTACCCAAAAATAAAAATTTCTACAAGAATAATATTAAATTTTAGGAAAAATAATATTTCCTACCAGAATAATATTGTTTTTTAAGGAAATAATACTTCGAACAAGAATAATATTAAATTTTTCAAAAATAATTCCAACAATAGATAAATATTGTTATTTTCACTAATTTATTTTATAAGTTTTATTTTTTCATAAATTTAATTATTCATTACTTTCACTACTGCTACAAATTCTCCTAATTTATAATTTTGACCAATTACTTTATAGTAACTTTCAATTAAATATTATGATTATTAAATTTTTTTCCAAAGCATTAATTAATATTTTTTTATTCAATATTAAAAACAAATAGATGCAACTTTTTGTTTTTTGAATTTAAATAGTTCAGTTAAACATATAAAATCAGTTTTTAAGAAAAATTATAAATCTACATTTCAATTAAATATAAATAAAAAAATACAGGTATATGAAAATAAAAATAATAAAAAAATATACGAAATGACTAAAATAAAAAAAATTAGTAAAACGAATCAAAAAAGTAAAAAAAAATTACAAAAATTATACTGACGAAAGAAAATTGACGTAAATTACAAAAATGACTAAAAAAATGAACAAGTAAAATAAAGAAAAATAGTAAAATAACGAAAGTAACTAAAATGACTAAAATGACTGAAATGACTAAAATGAATAAAATAGAGAAACTTAATATTAACGAAAGAAAATTGACGAAAACTGCAAAAGTGATTAAAATAAAGAAAATGACCAAGAAAATAACTAAAAATAAGAAAATGACCAAAATAAAGTGAACGAGTAAAATAAAGGAAATTAGTAAAATAAAAATAGTAACTAAAATGACTAAAATAAAGAAAATTAATATTAACGAAAGAAAATATTGACGAAAATTTCAAAATTGACTAAAATAAAGAAACGAGTAAAATAAAGAAAATTAGTAAAATAAGGAAAGTAACTAAAATGACTAAAATGAAGAAAATTAATATTAACGAGAAAGAAAATTGACGAAAATTACAAAAATGACTAAAATAAAGAAAACAACTAAAATTAAGAAAATGACTAAAATAATGTGAACGAGTATAATAAAGAAAATTAGTAAAATAAAGAAAGTAACTAAAATGACTAAAATGAATAAAATGAATAATATAAAGAAAATTAATATTAACGAAAGAAAATTGACGAAAATTACAAAAATGATTAAAATAAAAAAAACGACTAAGAAAATGACCAAAAATAAGAAAATTACTAAAATGAAGAAAACGAGTAAAATAAAAAAAAATTAGTAAAATAAAGAAAGCAACTAAAATGACAAAAATAAAAAAAAATTTCTAAAACGAATCAATAGACTAAAAAATAGCGAAACTCAGTAAAATTCATAAAAATGACAACCCCCCCCCCCCCCTAATAAAATGAGAAGGAAGTGAAAAATGAATGTTTTACCGTTAGTTTGTTAATTTCATGATTGAGAAATACAGTATACAGCCTCTCCTGTTGACGAAGTTCGCCCCAGTTGTCCTCTTCGGAAGTGCCCCGATTCTCTCGAGTCGAAAGCCAAAGCTTCAGTTTAATTCGACCCTGAATGTTGCTCCTTTGAGTTCTAGCCTGTAGTTTGTACCAACCTTCCAGTCCCGTGCTTGGTATATCCTTCAACAAGAAAATTTTATAACTCAAATAATGCTCTTTGATGTGACACCGAGTTATGATTTCTTTTTTACAGTATATTCCATTATATGCTTTCCATTATATATATATATATATATATATATATATATATATATATATATATATATATATATATATATATATATATATATATATATATGTATTTTTTTTTATTTCCAGAGAGAAGCTTTCAACAGATTCTTTGATATGTTTTATTTCAACAAACAAACAAAAAAAAGGGAGGAAGAGAGAGAATCGTTCTCCAAACACTCAATAAAAAAAAAATTATTTATCTTTTTCATTTGTTATTTTGATTTAAATTAAACTTTTTTTATATAAATTATTAATTTTTTTAATTATTATTATTTTTCTGTTAGTTTTTTTATTTTTTTATTATTTTTTTTTTTAACTTTCTATTAATTTCGTAATAATTATAATTTCTATTAATTCGTATTAATTTTGTTGTAATTAATTAAATATTTTTTGAACGTTCATTTATATATCTTTACACTAATATTTTTATTCTTAAAAAATTTTTACTATCATTTCATTTATTTATAATTTTCCTATAGTTTTGAATGTTCGAATGAACGCGACGATATTTTTATTACTTCTTTTAATTTAAATGTTATTTACAAAATATTTGTTTTTAATGATAAAAAAATAATTTTTAGCTTAATAAGTATTAATTTTACTTTAAACTAAATAAATGCAAAATTTTTTATTTTAGTCGAATAATTTTTAAAAATATTGGAGTAAAAAAAATATTTCGTTCATTTGATGGTTCAAAACTTTAGACAAATTATTTACAGCAATAAATTGTTTGCAAAAAAAAAATGACTATTTTTTATTTTGTTTATTTATATCAATAAGACTACAAAAAAGCCTCTTATTGCATTTATTGATTTGTTTATCCATAACAATATAAACAAATTACAAAAAATTCCTCTATTGTATATATTTTTCTATTTTATTTTCTATTTGCAAATGAATGCATTTTTTATTTATAATTTTATTTTTATATAATTTTACAGTAAATAAAATTATAAATATTTTTTGGATCAAATTAAAATTCGAAATTTGGGGGGGGGGGGGAGGGAAAAAAATATTGAAAACCAACCTGAACGGGAATATTGACGCAGCCGAGAAAATCGTCTTGACTCCCTGACCTTGCACTTTGAGCGATTTGCTTGAAGAATCTACCAAGACCTTTGACCCCTCGAACCTCGTTCAATTTGCTGACCGCATCGAGGACCGAGGACTCGTCGTCATGGTCCCTATAACCATGTCTGTCAGGAACACAAAATTTCTCGAAGGAAGTCGCAGTTGAGCCTCTTAGCAGGATTTAAGGATAAACGAAAGACAAAGAACTTTTCAAGAGAATAGACAGTTCAAAAAAAGAAGGCATGCAAATGGTTTTTTTATGATAAAGAGAAAAAAGAAAAAGAGAAACAAGAAAAAGAAAAAAAAGAATAAAGAAAGAAAGAAAGAAGAAGAGAAAAAAGAAAAAGAGAAACAGGAAAGAAAGAAAAGGAGAAAAAGAATGAAGGAAAGAAAGAGAGAGAGAGAAAGAGACCCAAAACATATTTTTTTTCGTAACTAATTCTCTAAAAAAAAAACTAAACCATAATTCAAGAGTAGAAAATATAAAAAAATATGTTTTAGTAATTTTTTTTCATAAGTTGGCTCTATAGAGAAATTATTTCTCTTATAGTTAGAGAGAGAGAAAATAAGAGAAGCAAGGAAATGTTCTACTAAGGAAAGTATCTTGCATCAAGCATTGACTTTTTTTTGTTTGTTTCTTTTTTGTTTCTTTTTGTAAGAAAAAAAAGTTGCTCACCATATATCTAAGTGTATGATATCAGTATTGATGTCATCGATGACGCTGTAATAATATCGATTATCAGACGATTTTGTTCTATTTTCGATAAGCAAAAATGGCAAATTTTACGAAAATTCTTTTAAAATAGAAATTTTTCTTTCAACGCAAAAATAACTTAGAGAATAAAAATAGTATTCAGAGAAAATTTAATTTTTTTCATTTTTCTTTATTGCTGTAAATAAAATAAATTACAGAAAATTAAAATAAAATAATAAAGGAATATTAAAATAATAAAGTAATCTTTAAAAAAAAATGAAATAGAAAGGAAAATGAGAATTAAATAAAAAATTAAAATACTATTAAAAGAATACTTATTTTTTGAAAAATTAAAACTTTTATTTTTTTTCGAAAGAAAATTCAAATAAAGAAAACCATTTTCGAAAATACGATTCGCCATTATTTGTGCTTTGAGAATATGATGTTTTATGAGGAAAAATTTTTTTTCCAAAAAAAAAATTTATATTTATCTGAAACGAACTAGAAATATAAGATTATTACTCACAAGGGAAACTTTTCTTCCCATCGAGGATTCAAAGTATGGTGCTTCACTGAAGTGGCTCGTATGTACTTCGCCGGTACCTCACCACTTATAGATTCTCGATGCTCTCGTCTACTCGGCTGTTCCTTTCGTTTAAATGACGCAATTCTGAAACTAATTATTAGAAATAGTTAGCTGTACATAATTAACAAAAAATTGTCAAAAGTTTTATTTTTTAAAACAATAATAGAAAAAAAATATATTATGGCAATGGAAATGAAAAAATCTTTCTTTTTAATAAGAAATAAGAAATAAAAAATAGAATCGATAGAAATTAATTTATTTGCTATATAAATTAATAACAAGCTAATTTTTTTCAAAAGAAATTAATTTCTTTGCTTTACGAATTAATAACCAGCTAATTTTTTTCGAAAGAAATTAATTTATTTTCACTTCTAAAAAGGAACTTAATTTTATTTTAATTTTTGTAAATAAATAATAAACATTTCCTTAAAGATTATATAGTGAAGCAGTGAAAAAACTAGGTTCAATTTTAATTAATAAAAATTAATTTATTTTCCCTTCAAAAATAGAACGTCATTTTTTTAATTTTTCAAATTTATCGAAAAATATAATTTTATTGAAAATTATTTTCTGTATCAGTAAAAAAAAAAAGAATAATTTGGTTTAAATTTTGCAAAAATACAAATAGTTATGTATTTATTAGTTCGACTTTCTTCTTCGTAATTTTTCACTAAAACTTTAGTAGGTAAATAAATTTAAAAGTATTAAAATACTGACAGTGAGTAGAAATAGACAATAAGTAGAATTAATCGATTATAGTCAGACATTAGAATTTTTAGTAAAATTTTTTTTTAGTAGCAATCAAAAACAGAATTCGGTTTGCCAAGTAGAGAAAAATTATTCTAGTCAGACAAGAAATGTTTATCTACTAGAAATAAAAAAATTAATCAACTGATTCGGAATTCTGAGTAGAATACACTGATTATAGTCAGACAGGCATTTATTAGTAGTAAAAAATACGCAACTATTTATTTCAAGTAGAAAAAGTTGATTTAAGACAGACAGAAAATTCTGAAATTTGATGAAAAAACTAAAAAATAAATCAGTGAGGCAGAATTTAATATTCATAGTAGAATTCAGTGATTATAGTCAGACAAAAAGTTTACCACAGGCAAAAATGCGTATCTCTTATTTCATACCTCTCTAAGTAGAAAGAGGTAATTTTAGTCAGACGGGAAATTTTCTAATTAAACAAAATAAGTATATAAATCTAAAGAATCAAAATTTGGGATTCTAAGTAGAATAGAGCCATTATAGTCAGACAAAAATATTTCCATAGAAAGAAAAATACAAAATTTTCTATTACAAGTAGAAAAAGGTATTTCTGTCCAAATAGGAAAATTTTAAGTAGTAAAAATTATAAAGATTAAGTCTCCTGGTTTCGTCGATTTTATTTTAAGTAAAATAGATCGATTATAGTAACTATTTCCTAATAGTTAAAAATCACACAACTCTTTAATTGAAGTAGAAAACGATGATTTTAGTCAGACATGAAATTTTTTTTATTTTAATATTATTAAATTTTTTCTGACTATAATCGATCTATTCTACTTAAAATAAAGAAAAAGCCTAAATTAGAGAATTAATCTAGTGTTTCAGAATTTTAAGTAGTAAAGATTGATTATAGTCAGACAAGAGTTTTTTAATCGTTAAACAATACACAACTCGTTCAAAAATAGTAGAGAAAGCTAATTTTAGTCAGACATGGAAATTAAAAGTAGTATAAAATAGAAAATAAATCGAGTAACTCAGAATTTTAAGTAGAAAAGAGTGATTATAGTCAGACAAGACATTTTCATACTAGAAAAACAGTGATCACTTTTCATTTCAAATAGAAGATATTGATTCTAGTCGAACAAAAAAATTTAAATAGTAAAAATTATAAAGAATAAGTCTCGTGGTTCCATTATTTTATTTGAAGTAGAATAGGTTGATTATAGTCAGACAAAAGTTTCCTAATAGTTAAAAATTACACAACTGTTTAATTGAAGTAGAAAAAGATGATTTTAGTCAGACATGAAATTTTTTTATTTTAATTATTAAATCTTGTCTGACTATAATCGATCTATTCTACTTAAAATAAAGAAAAAGCATAAATTATAAAATTAATCTAGTGTTTCAGAATTCTAAGTAGTAAAGATTGATTATAGTCAGACAAGAGTTTTTTAATCGTTAAAAAATACACAACTCGTTCAAAAATAGTAGAGAAAGCTAATTTTAGTCAGACAGGAAAACTTTAAGTAGTATAAATTAGAGTGCGTAAATCGATTCACAATTTTAAGTAGAAAAGGATAATTATAGTCAGACAAGACGTTTTTTAATAGAAAAACAGTTACTACTCTTTGTTTTAAATAGAAAAAAGTGATTTCCGGTCGAACAAGAAATTTTAAGTTGTAAAAATTATAAAGAATAAATCTAGTGGTTTGGAATTATTTCTTCGATCAGTGAGTGAAATAGTAAAATTTTTTTACTTAAAACTAGTTGAAATTTTTACAAACTTTAATTAGTGAATGATTTTTCACTAATTCAAATAAGAATTTCATCTTTTTTTATTTGCAAAAATAATATCCCACGGTACTTCATATCAAATAAAAAAAAAAGAATGAGAATAGAAAAGTGAAAAAGGTATTTTTTTCATAAAAAAAAAAAAAAAAAATAGAAAAAATATTACAATTTTTAAAACTCTTTGAAAAAGTCATAACATTCTGACATTTTACTTCCTTCTTTACTTTCTATTCGTCAGATAAAATTTCTTTTTAGCGTCTTCGTTTTGATAAAAGAAAAATTCTGAATCTATATATATATATATATATTGGATTGTAAAAACGAATTTAAATAAATGAACTGCAATAGCGTTTGTATTTCTTGAGGGACAAAATTATTTTCCCTTGTATATAACAAAAAAACAGAAGAAATAAATCCAACGATAAAATTTGTATGTATTCTTCGTTGTAAAATAAAGTCAAGATTTTGTACCAAAAAAAAAAAAGAAAAACAAAATGAATAATTTCAAGATTTTTATATTTCCTTTTTTTAGAGAATAAAGAAGCAATAATAATACTTTTAATAATGCTTAATTGCGAGGAATAAAATTTGAATTTTCTAATAAGAAATTTTCATATTGATGTGGTAAAATTATCTTGATTCATATCAAAAGCACCGTATATACTGTCGAAAATCTCCGTTTCCGTCGCATTTATTTTAACTCAAAGTGAACTATTGTGAGCCTTTGAAGTACAACTTTGTATATATATATATATATATATATAAGGATTTAATGGCTTTGTACATGGTTTGTGGATAAATTGCATTAAACGAGGCATGTCAATTGACATAAAAGTCATTTGAATACCAAAAGAAAATGTCAAATTTCAAGATATGAGACAATTTTACATATTTCAAAAATTGGAAAGAATTTGGCAATTTTATTCCCCATTTTTTTTATTTTTGGAGATAAAAGAAGTAAAAAAGGATGAAGCAATGAGATTTGGGGGAATTTTTTCTCGTCTGCAAATAATTTTCTTAGGCTCAGCAAAAAAAATTTTTTTTTTGTGACAAGCAAAGACGGTTTGTTACACAAATGTCGATCAAATAATTTTTTGCCTTTATTTAGTATTACTTATGTATTTACTGTATTTGTAAATTCAAATATTTTTCACTATCAACAACAAAAATGATTAAAAATTTCAAAATATATATTCAATTCAAATTTCTCTGCAAGAATTATATTTGAAATTTCTTTTCGAAAAATAATTCAATTCAAATTTTTCTCAAATTATTCAATTACTCTTAAATAATTAAAAAAGAATTTACTAATAATTCTAATTATTATTATCTATAAATTAGATTATCTATAAATATAAAAAACTAATATAAAATTATTTAAATAATTATTATCTACATAATTGTTATAAACAATTAAATAGATAATTATTAAATAATAGTTTAACCGAAATTTCTCACAACTGATACAAGTAAATAATTTCAATTTAATTTCAGTGGAAAAAAGAAAAAAAATTGCGATTTTTCTTTTCACGAATATTTTCTTGAATCAGATTTGTCTCTAAAATAACATTCTCGCCTGTTCCATTTTGCCGTGCGGAATAATTTAAACCAAGATTTTCATACATTCTGCAATAATACATTAAATCCAATAGCAACGATCAGAAAAAAAAAGATGGCTTTAGGTGAAAATAAAAATAATACTAAACTTAATAAAACGATAAGAATAATTTTTTCGATTCTCAGATGGAAATTAACTCTAAAATTATTGTTTTTTTTTCATAGAATATATTTCTGTTTACTAAAAGTAGGAAACCAAAAAAAGAAAAGTAAATAAAACAAGTTGAATAGTAAAAATATTAAAAATAGTTTCTATTTATAAAGGAAAAAAATAATTTTCATGCATAAAAAATGTAGTTAAAAAAATAAAAATAGTAAAATCGTAAAATAATAAATATAGTTACAAAAAAGCAAAAATATAAAGAAATTCAAAAAAGAAAAAATAATAAAATCAGTAGAAATGGTAAAAAAAAGTAAAATAAAACTAAAAAGAATATAATCACCCTCGGGAAAAAAATAACGATCCTAATCAAACGCGAATTTACTGCAACGTCAAATAACAATAATAATTCACTGTAAATGACACATCGAAATATTTCCTCAATAATAAGAATAATAATATTTTTTTTCTCTTTCTATATATTTTTTTCCCTCCATTTTGTTTGTGTATTTGTTTGTTTTTTAATGAAAATCTTGATCCCTTTTGTTTTACGAAATGAAGTTTGCTTTAGTTTATTGGTTCTACCTGGAGTGTTTTCGAAGCTTTTCGTGATGAGAATTTTCGATTTCACAGCCACCATCCGATAAAGCTCGAGTCGTTTGTCTAGGCGAAGGTGGTGCAGTGTGAGGAGAATGACCGGGTAAATTCGTCTGAGGACTAGGTAGAGAGCTGCTGTTACCCGGTTGAATGCCCAACATACAGTACGGATCACTGTAACCTTGTAAAAATTTGCACATTTACGATTTCCTCCTCTTCACATATTCATCGTCAATTTTCATTTAAATATCATTGCAGTTCTAACAAAATTACTATTCTCTCGTATTTCATGAAAAAAAAAATTAAAGAAAAAAAAAAAATTCTCTTTTTTGTCATATTTCATCGACAAATATATTTTCAATAATTTTCAAATTAAAACAAAATGTCTAAAACATTTTTTCTTTAATTTTACTCCATTTGAATTTTCATCACATAAAATGATTCTTTATTTTCTACAAAAACTTATTTTTAATAATTAAAAATATTTAATTGTATTAATTATTATTATTAACTATATAATAATTGTCTTATTCATTATTTTATTCTGTCCACACTTTGAAGTTAATTTTTGTGTATGCTTTTGTTTTTTTCTTTCTTTAAAAAAATATTGTTTGACAGATCAAAAAAATGCAGGTATTTTTTCATTATTTATAATAAAACAATATTTGAAATTAGAAAATATAAAAAAATTATAATTAACAAATAAATTTTGTTTATTATTTTTTTTTCTATAACAAATTTCGTTTCACTGATCTAAATTATGCAATTATATTTATTTACGAATTTCTTACATTGTAAAATTATTCGAAAACATCAATAACTCTTTTTTAAATAAATATTTAAATATTATTTTTCCGTAGGAATTAAAATTTTTCAAAACATTCAAATTCAAATCTTTTTAAATTCAATAACTTGAAAGAATATTTTTATAAAACATGAAGATAGCGATTGCTCCGAGTCGAAGACTCGGAGTGATCGATTTCTTCATGTTTTTTAATAATTAAAAATGACCAAGTGATAAAATCATTGTTTCATATTATAAGAATATTATTACAGTAACTTTTTCAAAATTATTTCAAATCAATTATTATTTTCTACATTTTTAAATTATTTTTTATGAAAATAATTGAATTCCTTGAAAAAATTTTATTATTTATAAAAATAATTTAATTATTGCGAAGGAGTTTATAAAAAAATTGAAAATAATAAATAATACAATTTCATTATTTATGAAAATAATTAAATGTTTGCGTATTATTTTTGGGAATTTGAAATTGATTTGGAAATAATTGAACTTTGGGAAAGAATTTTCTTATTTATAAAGATAATTGGGATTTTGACGAGAATTTTTTTTAAATTTGAAAGATAATTGAATTTTATGAGAAGAATTTTATCACTCATCCTTAAAATAATTGAATCTCTGCATTTATTTGTAATTTTTCCAAAATTAGATTTTTTTAGTGTTTTCAACAAAAATTTGAATTACAAATTTTTAAATTTTATTATTTTTAAAATTGCTAATTGCTAATTTAATAAAATTGATGTTGCTAGTATATTTTAAATTTTGTACAAGTATTTTACAATTTGGGAAAAAGTGCAACAATCCGATATTTTAACATAGAAAATATTAAACAGTGAAAGAAATAATATGAAATTTAATTCTTCTAAAATTTGTTAAATTTTTTAATATATAATTAATTAATTATTAAAAATAGTGGATTTATAGATGCATTTTACTTACAAACACTAGAAAAATTGAATTTTGGAAAAATTATAAATGATTGTATAAATTCAATTATTTTAAAAAATAATCCAAATTATTTTCTAAAATTCAATTCATTTAAAAATTTTTAATAAAATTCTTGGCAAAATTCAATTTTAAAAAAATTTTTAATAACATTTTTGGCAAAATTTCAATTATTATTTTCAAAAATTTTCCTCAATTTCATATGAATTCTATTATTTACAATTTTTTTTTATAAATTTCTTCGCATTAATTTAATTATTTTCAATGAATAATCAAATTTTTTACAGGTACTGAATTATTTTCATAAATAATAAAGTTCTTTTTAGGAATTTAATTATTTTCATAAATAAAATTCATCGCAGAATTTCAATTATTTTTAAATACAATTTTAATCGAATTCTTCGCAAAATGTGATTGTTCTTAACAATTTTATTAAAAATCGTCAAAGAAATCAATTATTTAAAAATGTTTTGATAAAATACTTTATAAGAATTCAATTTTAAGAAACATTCAATGAATTACATATTTTTGTATTTAAATAATTGAATTCTCGTAGAATTTTCTAATAAAAATTCATTTAAAAATGAATTTCAGTTAAAATTTTAGATTTGAATATTTATTATTCTAATTATTTAAATATTCAAATAATATTTGAATATTAAAAGCATAATATAGCATGAATTTTAAGAAATAATTGAATTTTGAAAAGGTTTCAAATTAAATTCTTTGAAAACCTTAATTTTTCATACTTATAACAAACAATTCTGTAGAATTAATTATTTTGAAAAAGTTTAATTGAATTTTTTTTCTAAAATTATTTCAAGTGTTTATTTTTTAATACGTATTCAATTGAAGAATTTCTGAATAATTGAAATTTCGTAAAATTGAATTGGAAACAAATGGATTTGAAAATTCTCAGAGAACTTTTTCAAAAATTATTAATGATAATTGATTTAAAGAAGAATTTTATTTAAAAATTCTAGAAAATAACAATTAAAATAAAATGATGAAAATAATTTTGAAAAAATTACAATAAAAATATTTCTATTATATAAAATAATTATCTTATCACTCGATTATCTTTAATTTATTTTAAAAAATGAAGAAATTGCTTACTAATTATTAACAATTTACTTATTATTACTTATTTACTGTTAATTAATTGTTAACTACTAATCATGAATAATTTACTATTTATTAGTTCTTAATTACTAATTATTAATTATTTACTATTTATTAGTTATTAATTACTAATTATTAATTATTTATCAGTTAATATTTAATGTTTATTTTCTCTCCTTGATTGAATAGGATTCCAAATAGTAATTTTTAGTTGACAATTGTTAATAATCATAATGATAATGTTTATTCAGATTATTACTAACAATTGTCAACTAATAATTACTATATTTGGAACCATATTCAATACAAAAATTAAAAAACTCCTTTTAGCAAAAAATATACAAAATTCAGGTATAATAAATTTGACAAAATAATTTTACAAAATTCAACTGCCCATAAATATGAAAGGGATGATATAAATTATTTTTTTCAGGAGAATTTTTGTCACAGCTATTGCATAAATAGGTTGTATCATGAAAATTTACGTTTTTCCGGTGGATTAAGTTTCAAAAGAGCTGTACATTTATATACAACAAGTTAAAAAGTAACGCGTCAAGTCAATTGACTCACTGCACGTCCAACCATTTTTTGACAAAACCATTTACTGGAAAACTTGATAATTGAAACGATCATTGTGTTATTAAAATCTTTTCCCTTTATTCTGCAACAATTCTCATCGTTTGTATATTGAATTTTTTTTCTAAAATTCTGAATGATATTTCTTTTCTTTTTATTGTACTTGTATTTTTTTTTTAATTAAACAAACTATTTTTTTGTAGTTGTAGTAATTTTTTGAAAAATAATTTCCCATTTGAAAAACCATTTTTATAGTTGTACAACTTTTTTGAAAAGTAAATTTCCATTTGAAATATCTCTTTTCTAGTTGTGGAAATTTTTGGAAAAATAATTTTCCATTTAAAAAACCATTTTTAGTAGTCAACATTTTTTAAACATTTTTTCCATTTAAAAAACCGTTTTTCTAGTTGTGGAAATTTTTTTTTTGAAGAATAAATTTCCATTTAAAAACTATTTTTAGTGGAAAAAAATTTTTTGAAAAATTATTTTCCATTTAGAAAACCATTTTTTTTTTGTAGAAAATTTACGAAGAATAATTTTTTAACTCACCATTTGCGTCCTTGGCTTCGAGACCTTCCGCCTCCACTACTAATACGTTTAGGACAACTATTGGTGGCTAGAGACAGAAAAATAAAAATTCCCTTGTTATTTTTCTTTATTTTGCAGTAATCTTATTAAGGAAAAAAAATATTTCCCTAACAAAACTTTTTAAAAAGTTAAAATTAAATTTAAAAAAATTGTTTTTTAAAATGGATAGAAAGTGTTAAAATAAATTTTTAAATTTTCAAAAAATGTTCACTGTACCTTTTCTTCGGAAGCAATATTTAAAAATCGTCTATGTTGATCTTGTGGAACGCTAAAAGCTTCTTGGGCATATTTATAAAGGTCCTCCTTGTATTGGACATAAGGTCCCGTACTGGCCCCAACCCTGTTCGCAATTGTGTAAAGAACCTCTCTGTACAATTGTTCCATCTGCAATATGAATAAAAAAAAAAGATTTTCTAAAATTATGTTAAATATATTTTATTAAAATTTTATAATTTAGTTTAAAATTTCAATAGAATTGAATTTTCTTTTTTATTACAATTTTTATTTATTGAAACTATTTATTTTTTTATTTCTAATAAAATGATCTATTTTTGAAGAACAATTCCTTCTCGTATAACTTTCGAATAATTAAAAAATTAAATAGAAAAATAAATATTTAATATTTGACAAAATATTTCCTTCTACGAACCCAAATATAAATAAAAATAAATAAAATAAATAAATAATAATTTACTAAAAAATTAAATAAATAACAATTTACTAAAAAAATAAATAAATAACAGTTTAATAAAAAAATAAAGAAATAACAATTAACTAAAAAAATACAAAAACAAATAAATAAAAATAAAAAATAAGAAAATAAATAAATATTAAAATCTAAATAAATAAAATGCATAAATAAAAGAAATAAAAAAATCGAAAGTCCTAATCTGTTTGCCGGAATAATAATATACAAAAAGGGAGAAAAATAAAAAAATGATTAATAGTTTAATTACAGAACAATTTAGTCCCGTTTATCTAAGTATCAAAATAATATCAATAAAAGAGAGTAAATATTCATTTGAATTTACCAACAACAAAAAGTAGAGTAATTATTCTATCATTAACTACACATCAAGATATCCTTTTCTCGATAAAAAAAAATATTTCCCTTTTTTCCATCTCGAAAAATTTCGCCTTTTAATAAAAGAAAAAAAAAATAGAATAATAAATGAAAAAAATACACATGATTTATCAGAGAAATAATAATTACTAATTTAAATTTCACATTCCAATTTCTAACCATTATTTCAAAAAGATATTTAATATTGTTGCGAATATATACACGTAACTCTCTATATTTTCATTAAATTCATTAAACTGTCTATCAATTTGTTCTGTTAAATAAGGACCAGAATAGTTTGAAACAGATGGTTTAGAATTTCTTGTTATATTCAGCAAACATAAAAGACGAAAATTAGAGACTTTCAAGTTTATATATTGAATTTTGTTGACATTTTGTCAATAATATGTCTTAATATAAATGAAAAAAAAATGTCTTTATATATTCTCTATAATAAAAAGAAAATATTTTAATTTAACGATGTAAAATCGAACAAGTTTGAAATAGAATTCCAAAGAAAAGTTCTTCTGACGAATGAAAGCAAATTTTTCAAAAGAAATTTTTATACCAAAAAAAAAAAAAACTATCAAAAAATATTATTTTAAAAAATGTTTTTAATTCATATTTCTCATTATTATAATTAATTATAAAGATCGCCGTCTTTTACATATAAATATCTTTTTTATAAATAAATATAAATCCGTAATCTAGTTTACAATTAATTCTAATGAATTTTTATTATTATTATTTATTATTTAAAAAAGTGTATTTTAAATTAATAAGTAAATAATAAAAAATATTAACAATATACAGTTAAGTAATATTTATAAAAAAAATATTTGTTTAAGTTTCTATAATCAAAATTGATTCAAAATGATTCAAGTTTCACTTTTGTTTCATCTTGATATATTTATTTATTCAATTAAATAATTAATAATTAATTTAATTATTAATTTGTTCAGTTTCAATGAAAGTAAAATTTTTGAAAATTCCTGGTTAGAAAACTAATTTTCCAAAACCAAACTTCGAAAATTCCAATCCATTAAATACTCATTAGAAAACAATTTCGAAAATCAAAATTTGTATTTCGCCAACTAATTAAAATATAAACCAGTTGTTATACTCTCCCGATCCAAATACACAAAATATAAGACAATAGAAAATTACATTATAAAAATGTTGATTTTACAATAAAGAAAATAATAATAAAAATAATAATAATAATAATAACAATAATAATAATATAATGAAAAAAAATAAATCTTTCACTGCATGCAAATACGGGGAAAATTTTTCCAAACAAAAGATATAATAATTGGAATTATATTCGCCCTAGTGAAGAGTAAACTTAATTTTTGCATGAATTCCCTTGGTGAAAACGAAAAGTGAGTAACAATAGTCGACTCGAATGACTAATATTTATTATCACTCGATTTTGCTTCAAAGAATGAAACACGACGTAATAAATGCATACTCTTAAATAACAGGTGTTGTGTTCGATATTAATCATTCTGTATATTTATTACGCGAGTACTTTTCCATATTGAACCTTGTATTACTTACCCTTCCTATCCTGCATTAAATTTATATACTCGCACAAACCCGCCTATTTATATAATCACTAATCGTAATTCCACATAGTGCCCTATAATATTCTACTCCACATCATAAAATACCAACATTGTAAAAATTAATAAATATGTATTTTTAATTTTTTACGAAACTTGGCATTTGCAAAAATTAATCAATAAAATAACCCGCGGGACTTGTCAGTTTTATTCTTAATTAAAAAAATATTCTCTCCCCCCAGAAAAAAAATTTTCTCGAAAAAAAAAAATTATTAAGAAATAGGAAATATGCCCATTTTATGCATAATTTATATTTCTCAAAAACAATATTATTCAGAAACTCATTCTTTTCTTTTGGAAAAGAAACATTACATATATTCTACTCTATTTGTCAATTACAAATTTTAATTAAAAATGAAATTGAAACTTTTTTAAATTTTTAGAAAATAAAGGAAAAAAATTTACTCAAAAAAATGTTCTGTTACATTTATTTACGAATTTCTTTAATTGTAAAATTATTCGAAAACATCAATAACTCTTTTTTAAATAAATATTTAAATATTATTTTTCCGTGGGAATTAAAATTTTTCAAAACATTCAAATTCAAATCTTTTTAAATTCAATAACTTGAAAGAATATTTTTATAAAACATGAAGATAGCGAATGCTCCGAGTCGAAGACTCGGAGTGATCGATTTCTTCATGTTTTATAAAAATTAAAGATGATCGAGTGAGAAAATCATTGAATATTATTACAGTAACTTTTTCAAAATTATTTTCATCATTTCAAATCAATTATTATTTTCTACAATACTTTTAATTATTTTTTATGAAAATAATTGAAAAAATTTTATTATTTATAAAAATAATTGAATATTATTGCGAAGGAATTTATAAAAAATTTGTAAATAATTGAATTCCTGAGAAATTTTTATTATTTATGTAAATAATTAAATTGTTTGCGTACTATTTTTGGGAATTTAAAATTGATTTAAAAATAATTGAATTTTGGGGAAGAATTTTGTTATTTATAAAGAAAATTGGGATTTTGACGAGAATTTTTTTTTAAATTTGAAAGATAATTGAATTTTATGAGAAGAATTTTATCACTCTTAAAAATAATAATTGAATTTCTGCAATTATTTGTAATTTTTCCAAAATTGGATTTTTTTAGTGTTTTCAACAAAAATCTGAATTACAAATTTTTAAATTCTATTATTTTTAAAATTGCTAATTGCTAATTTAATAAAATTGCTAATTTATCCCAAAAAGTTAATCGCGCGCTTAAGCGCGAATTGTTGCTAGTATATTTTAAATTTTGTAAAAGTATTTCACAATTTGGGAAAAAGTGCAACAAACCGAAATTTTTACATAGAAAATATTAAACAGTGAAAGAAATAATATGAAATTTAGTAAAGTTATATTGAAATTCAACTAAATTTCTTATATTTGATATAATTATACCAAATTTCACATAAGTTTTTTTAAAGTTTAGTATTTTTTATATCAAAATTTCTCTTTGTCGCATTTTTTCCCCAAATTGCGAAATACTTTTACAAAGTTTAATATATAATTTTCTCTCCGTGCAACCTTACTATATTTTTTTTTGGTTAGATTTTAGATTAACCAGAATTCTAGTTAATTTAACAAATTATGGTTGTTTTAAGTAGAATATTTGTTAAATATACCATAACCAGAATTTTTTTTCAGTGTAGTAATCAATAATTGTGGTTTTGTAATGAATGCTGGGTTACTATTATTATTATCGTTAGTATTATGATTATTATTATTATCCTCTCCATTATGATAATCTCTATGTTAAAATAATTTAAAATTCACCCACGTATTGTCGGGTATAACCTAATTAATTAGTGTTGTAATTAACAATTTTCGTAGAATCATCTCTAAATAGGTAAAATAATAATAATTGTTGCATTTTATGACTAATTTTATATTCTAATGTAAAAGGGGTAATAATCACGTGAATGATTTATTATAAATTTTAATGATTTCTCTGCTAATTCTCAGAAATATTCTTGAAAGTAAAGACTTTACACTCTTTTAAATTATTTTTCCTGAAAAACATTAGAAACTATATATTATTATCATCAGGATTATTAAAAAAGAAAACGAGAACTTTTTCTTTTTTTCAAAAAAAAAAAAATGTTTCATATCAGAGATAAAATCAAAAGAGATTTTAAGTACCACACATTGTTGCAAAAAAGACCTTTTTGCTAAAAATAATATTTTCAATTTTAATGACGAATTAGAAATTTAAAAGAAATATTTTAAGAACATTTTAAAAAAAAATGCCCTGAAAATATTTCTTTTAAAAGGACTTTTTTAAAAAACGGTTGGATAATTGGAACCAGTTAAAAATTCAAAAAAATAACTTCTTTCATTTTCAGTTAGAGAAAAGATCATAAAAAAATAAATTCAAGTCAAAAGTATTTTTCAAAGTAGAAAAACTCTTTTCCCATATATATTAAATATAATAACGTACTTTCGCATGTAGAAAAAAAACAAAGATTCGTGAGTTACGAACAAAAAAAAATGAAAGACAAAAGAAAATTTCTTTCTTTGAAAGTATGAAAATAGCAAAGTTGAATGTACGCTCCAATGAATATTCTTTGGAGAAATTAGTAGGTTATTAAAAAAAAGAGAGCGAACGAGAGCAAGAGTGAGAGAGAGAGAAAGAGTAGAATGTAGATGAAACCAGTTGATTCATTAAGATAGTGTATTTGTTCGTTTAGCGAGAGGTTTGAATGACAGCACAGTTGACCCGATTGTATGGGCAATGTGATCAATGTGAAATGATAAGGACGCACCCTACTTAGCTTTTCAATAGTCGATAACAAAGTTAGCATGATTTATTTCATTCAATCACCTCAATTTGCCCTTCTCTGATAACTTTAATGGGATTAAAAGGCTCTTATTTTAATTGAAGTTCAACTTTTCCCGCGTGTTACTTTGCCTATTTTCTCTTAATAACAGTTACCATTGTTTTAATTCCAGCTTTCACGAACATTGCAAAAAAAAAAAAAAGAAAGGAAAAAGAAATCCAGGGAATTACTAATCAATGGCAGTTATAAAATCGATGGCAATTTCGCTCAATTTTTGCTACAATCGGAAAAAGTAACAATTGACAAATCAATTTTTTAAATGACAAAAATTGCAATGAAAGTAACAATTAAAAAAAATTTACCATCGCTAGAAGAACAAACGAGAAAAATTACAATCACTAAATGTAACAAAAATGTAAGTACTAACTTACTAAATGTAAGTTAAAAGTACTTAAAAGTAACAGTCAACAAAAGTTCAAATCGCTGAAAGTTCCAATCGCCAAAAGTAACAATCGAAAAAATTAGAAGTACTAAAATTAACGACAAAAGTTCAAATTACTGAAAGTATCAATCAGCAATAATTACAATTGCTAAAAGTTGCAATTAGCAAAAGTAACAAACGCTAAAATCTAAAATCACTAAAAATAAAAATTGACAATATTTACTATCATTAAAAGTAACAATGGACAAAAATTCCAATTGTCAAAAGTAACAATCAACAAAAATTCCAAACGCTAAAAGTAACAATCACTAAAAATAAAAATCGACAATATTTACTACCGCTAAGAGTAACAATGGACAAACGCTAAAAGTCACAATCACTAAAAATAAAAATCGACAATATTTACTATCACTAAAAATAACAATGGACAAAATTTCCAATTATCAATAGTTACAACAGACATAAGTTCCAATCGTCAAAAGTAACAATCTATAACAGTTTTAAACGCTGAAAATGTTCCAAACTGTAAAATTTACAATCACTAAAAATAAAAATCGACAATATTTACTATCACTAAAAGTAACAATGGACAAAAGTTCCAATCATCAAAAGTAACAATCGGCAAAAATTAGAAGTACTAAAACTAACAGTCGACAAAAGTTTTAATTGCTGAAAGTAACAATCATCAATAATTAGTTACAAATGCTAAAAGTTCCAATTAGCAAAAGTAACAAACGCTAAAATCTACAATCACTGAAAATAAAAATCGACAATATTTATTATCACTGAAAGTAACAATGGACAAAAGTTCCAATTGTCAAAAGTAACAATGGGCAAAAGTTCCAATCGTCAAAACTAACAATCGACAAAACTTCCAAACGCTGAAAGTAACAATCACTAAAAATAAAAATTGACAATATTTACTACCGCTAAGAGTAACAATGGACAAAAGTTCCAATCGTCAAAAGTAACAATCTACAAAAGTTCCAAACGCTGAAAGTAACAATCACTAAAAATAAAAATCGACAATATTCACTACCGCTAAGAGTAACAATGGACAAATATTCCAATCGTCAAAAGTAACAATCTACATAAGTTCCAAACGCTGAAAGTAACAATCATAAAAAATTACTAACGCTAAAAGTTACAATCACTAAAAATAAAAATCGACAATATTTACTACCGCTAAGAGTAACAATAGATAAAAGTTCTAATCGCTAAAAGTAACAATCTGTAACAAATGCTAAAAGTAACATTCAGTATTACTAATAAACACTAAAACTAACAATTGACAGAAGTAACTATCACTAAAAGTAACAAACGATAGAAATTACAATTAACAATCGTTACCATCCCAAAAAGTAACAATCGCTAAAAGTAACAATCGATAGAAATCACAATCAACAATAGTTACAATCCCAAAAAATAACAATCGCTAAAAATAACAATTGAGCGCAGCAATTTTGCCCATAGCGTACGTGATAAAAAATCGAAATAAAAATAAATATTTATTTACCCACTACGACTACACACATACACTCGATGAAAAAAAACAAAAGAAAAAAATCCCTAAACAAATCAAAGAGATGCGATGATAGAAAAATAAATTCTGATAAAAATCGTATCTACGCTATATTTGTTTTAAAAGAGATTTTCTATTTCTTCTTCAATCTCTGAATCAAGGTTTTAATAATAATCAAACTTAAATATAAATATAAATCATAGATCTATATATATATATATGTATATTATAGTTTCTGTTATATTTATAAAATTGAGAAAATTATATAGAGAAAAAAAAAACTTTCTGAGAGATGTGTTAAAGTTATAAAGATAGATGTACTATTATTGAACGTTTCACATAATTATGTTCAGTTGAAAGGTGCGAGTTATTTTTAGGAACTGAGATCACGAAAAAGAAGCATAAAAGAAAAGTATATTAAGGGCTTCATTTTTACAGCTACTTGTGTGTATAAGTCTTTTGTTTAAAAATTGTTCTCTTAATTCTTCATGAATATGTGTTCATTGCAGTAAAGATTTATAATTAACTTCTTCTTTTATAATCATAACTTTTTTTATAACCATAACTTTTATTATAAACTGTTATAATTAAAAATAATCACTTGTTTAAAACATGTGATAAATATTAAATAATTGGAAAAATTTTAAGCTGCATTATTATTGGCTTAAAATATGAATTATTCCGCTTTAATAATTAATATAGGTAATTAAATATTAATCTCCTTTGATAAATAATTATTAAAAATTATCAATATTAATATTTTGCCTAATTATTAATGTTTAATAATTATTAAAGTCCAATAGCTATTAATATTTAATAATTATTAAAGTTCAATAATTATTAATATTTAATAATTATTAAAGTCCAATAATTATTAATATTTATTAATTATTATTATTATTTATTAATATTTAGCAATAATTAATATTTAGAAATTAACAATTTAAAAGTTATTAATAATAATAATAATAATAATAATAATAATAATAATAATAATTATAAATTACTAATAACTGACAATTATTAAGTATTAATAATTAATAATTAGGTATAAAAAATTAATAGTTCATAATTATAATTAATTATTGATCATCAATAATTAAAAATTACCTACAATCATTAATTATTCATCTTTTGTCCCAAACCATTAATATGAATATTGAAAACTAATTTATGATTTCAAAAGAATATCAGATTTTTCGTTAATAAATTATCAATGTAATAATAATATTACAATAAATATTTTGCATATTTAATTAACTTTATCAATTATTTGCAAGGAATAATTTATATTTTATGCCTTATAATGATATAATGTAATAATATATTAATATTAATATTAATTATATTATTTGTATTATTACTTTCATTTTATTTAAAACTTTCCCTATAATTTAGTATCTATTGATTGTTGTAAAATTAAAAAATTGAATTTTTCATCAATTTATAACATAAATAAAATCATTAATAATGTAAATTATTTTCTGTTTGTTTATTATAATATAAAATAAAATATGAAAATTTAATTACTTTTCTCACCTCTTTCTGACTCATTCTGTAATTTTGAGATGTATTTAGATTGAAATCTCTGGACGGTGGTGGTGCTTCTTCTGCTCTGGCCTCAACCTCTTGAAGAACGATTAACCTTCGATTTTCTTGTTTCCAAGACAAGGCAGTAAAACTCTCAAAGAACGATCCATCTGTTTCCTGAACACTAAAAAAGAAAAGTAAAAAAAAAAATTCCCATTGTAATTACATCAATATAATTGGGAGAAAACCAATAGTATTTACTATTACTATTCACCACATTATAATATTATATTAATTGAAGAATTTTTTTTTATCACATTCGAATGTTTTTTATCTCATTACATTTTAAAGATTTTTTTTTATTGATGTTAATAAATTTTTTTTCTCACAAGTTTTTTTTAAGATTTATGCTATTTGTTAAATTTGTTACATTTGTTAATAAAAAAAATTTAAATTATTTGCCAACAAAAAAAGTTTTAACATATCTTTTATTGTTGTTATTAACAAACATTCTTTTATCAAAACTTAAAAAAAATTTTACTAATAATTAACTATTATATTAATTCATTGTCAACATTAGATAATTAATTTTAATTATTTATATTACTTTATTACTCTCTGAATTTAAATCAGTAAAAGTGTTTACTAATTTGAATTAGTGACAGACTTTACTTTTGAATTAGTAGATTTTACTAATTTAAATATAGTAATTTATAATTTTAATTTTACTAATTTATTAGTAAAATTTACTACTTCAAGAGCAAATATTTAGTCAACGAACAGATTTTATTGCAACATTAACGAATATTTTTTATTATTATTATATAAACAAATATTTTTTTCGACATAAAGTTAATAATATTTATTTAAAACAAAATTAAGAATTTATTTGTTATTAACATAACAAATATTTATTTATTACCATATCGTTAAAAATATCATTTGTTTATAACAAAATGAGGGATTTATTTGCTATTAACAAAAATATAAATGAGAAAATAATGTTAACTAATAAAATTAGAAAACAACTGTTTATGAAGCAAATAATTATAAAAATTAATATTATTTCTCCAGTACTCTGAATTTTTTTCTCATTTATATTTTATAAAAGTGAGAAATAATCTTCCTTTTCTGCTTATTTCATTTTTTATATTACTTTTATATTGGGATGAAAGAGATTCGAGTATCAAAAGGTACATCCGACATCTTCGTTAAAATCGATAAGTTGTCAGGAGGGAATGCCTATCAAAGAGACGGTAATGACGTGATCGAAAGAGTAAGGTCAGATCATTTATGTTGTAGGTATATATATTATTATTATTATTATTATTATTATTATTATTATTATTGAATATATATATAGTTATACAGTTCTATCGTCTTCAGTTTATATCGCACGAAACCATTGTTTCTAAATTCTGCAATATCTCCTTTAGAAACAAACAATAAGAAGAAATTTCTTTTCATTCGTTAGAGAACACTTTATTAGCGATATTTCCAATTTATCAATAGACTGTAAAATAAAAATTAAAGTAGAAAAAAAATTTACCAAACGTTTTTTTTCCAAAAATAAAAATTATTATTATTATTATTATTATTATTATTTTCTATATTATTTATTTAACAGAACATTTGATCTAAGTTAATTTTGTTTTTTGTCAAATAATTAATTTATTTTTTAATTGTCTTACACTGAAAAAAAAATTTATTTCATTCAAGTAGTCGATTACGTGTATACTATCAAATAAATATTTACTTGAATCAAATAATTTTTATTTAAATCAAATCAATTTTTTAATAATATTTTAGTTTTCGATTCAGCAAATACAATTTAATTGATTTAAATAAAATTTATTTGATTCAAGTAAATATTTATATAATAGACTAATTAAATAGGTAATAATAATAATAATAATAATAATAATAATAATAATAATAATAATTTAATTTGATAATTAAAATCGGTTATTTGAATCAAATAAACTTTTTTTCACTGTGTAATAATATTAATTTCATATAAATATTTATTTATTAACGAATGTATTTATTAATAATTAACATAATAATATTCATTTTACAATATAATTATATTATATTTATAATTATGAATAATAAATAAACAATTATTAATTTATTCCGAGATTTATTCATATTAACCTCGTTGAACTCATTTTGATTTAAAAAATAAAAAGTGTAAGTTATTGAAAAATTCTTGTTTACATTAAAAGTAAAGGGAAAATTAATTCGGCATTTTATTCAAAGTAAAATTTTAAGCTTCTCTTATATCTGATAATAAAATTATAAATAATTAAACAAATAAATAAATAAAACGGAAGAAAAAAACAAAACTGAAATAATAAAATTATTCGTCTAGACATTAAATGAACTATTCAACGATTAACTTCTATTAGCATTATATTACTCTACATTCTAGAATCATTTATATTATATGTACATGAGTTTATTTTCATTACTCTTTGGAAATAAATTTTATAATGATTTATTCGCCTATAAATTTGTCTCAATAATGTTGAATTCTGCTTTCTTTTTTTATATGGTAATCAATAATTTTTTCCTATAAATTTTTCATGAGGGAAAACTTCTAAATTTTTCGTTTTTATTCACAATTTTTTGTGTACTCTCTTCTTTTTTACATCAAATCATAATTAATTTATCGAATAAAACTACACATTTTCTTGTCAAAGATTTTCTAATTTCAATTTTTTAATTGCTTTTTATTAGAACTTTCGAGAGTCATCAAATTTTTTAAACGGAAAATTTTCTTGCCATAAGGTGAAAGTGAATATTTTATTCCTTCTTTTACTGAAAAATTTGTTAGGGGAAAAAAATTTTGAATCTTTAAAATTTATAAAGTTTTAAATGAAAAGAGAGAGTTTATGAAATAAACTTTATAGAATTTATAAAATATAAAATTGTAAAACTTATAAAATTTATAAAATTTATAAAATTTATAAAATTTATAAAGTTTATAAAATTTATAAAATTTACAAAATTTATAAAGTTTATAAAATTTATAAAGTTTATAAAATTTATAAAATTTATAAAGTTTATAAAATATATAATATGTTAAAAATGTACATCATATATAAAAACAGTAAATTGAGAATATTAAATATATTCGCTTTCTTCTTTCATTCATTAAATGAATGAATTTAAAATAAAATTTTAATTTAAAAAAAAAATCTGAATAAACTTCTCTTTGTCTCAGTTAATATTTTCCAGTTGGGAAATTCCAAAGAATGATTGAATAACTTAAAATATTGTATTTTTTTTACAGAATAAGAGCTGCAAAAACTTCATGAAAAACTGGGTCACATAAAAAGTGTTGTGAAAAATAGCTTTTCGGAGCAAGACACTCGTATCATGCGATTATTAATTTTTTCCACCATTTAAACCCTTATTTTTAGGCAATTGCTTCCTTTATCCTTTTACACTTCGATTCATACTTATTTACTTGAGAATTTCTTTTTTAAAAAAGAAAAAGAAAAACAAATTTTTTTCTCGTGTACCAAAAAAAAAAAAAAAAAAAAATAGATAAAGAACCTTCACAAAATTTTTTAATCAGTAATTCACTTCAAGGTTGTAAGGGTTTTATAATAGAAACTTATTGAAAGAAAATTCTTTTCTATTTTCCCTATAAAAGGAACTATTTTACGAAAAAAATTTTGCACTTGATTTACATAATTAAAAAGTGTAAAAAAAATTTAAATTGGATTTTTAATTTTGAAGAATTCTTAAATTTGAAAAAATTTAAATTCATAAAGTTCATTTTTTAAATCTGAAGAATTTTTTAACTCAAAAATATTTATATTTGAAAAACTTTTAGCTTTGAGGAATTTTTTATTTTTAATCTATTCAGATTTGAAGAATTTTTTAAGAAAATATTTTCAGATTTTCAGAATATTAAACTATTTAAATTAAAAATTATTCAGATTTGAAAAATTTTTTATTCTGAAGAATTTTTAAATAGGAAAAAATTTAAAATTGGAAAAATAATTTTTCAATATGATTGGATAAAAATATATAATTGCTTTTATGGAGAAAGAAATAATTTATGTTTCTTAATTGAGGAATGTCTTAAAGTCGTTATTTTACAATTAAACCAGTGGCTACAGCAACAGGCTTTTAAAAGCTCGTTCCACACAAAGAGGGTTATAACTACAAGCACAACCAAGTGCTTTTTTATTTTGAGGGGGTAAATATGGGGTGAAAGTACATGCGACAGCTATATTACCTATGATGCTGTTATTCGCCGCAGGAGCTAAATTGAAAATGTTGTACGTGCCGAGTAGAAATTTCTCTTTAAAAAAAAAGAAAAAAAAAATTTCCCCTGTATTTAAAAATCATTTTTCCAATATTTAAAATTAAATTTCTATATTTAGAATTTCGTTTTCCATATTTAAACATTTTTGTCTTTTATTAAAAATTTTTTGTTTTATATTCAAAACTTGTTCCCTATTTTTAAAACTTTTCCCCTTTTTTTAAAACTTGTTCTCTACTTTTAAAATTTGTTATCTATTTTTAAAACTTGTTTCTTACTTTTAAAACTTGTTACCTACTTTTAAAACTTTTTTCATACTTTTAAAATTTTTTACCTATTTTTAAAAATTGTTCACAATTTTTAAAATTTGTTCTCTACTCTTAAAATTTCTTTCCTATTTTTAAAACTTGTTTCCTACTTTCAAAACTTGTTTCTTATTTTTAAAACTTGTCTCCTACTTTTAAAACTTTTTCCCTATTTTTAAAAATTGTAACCTAATTTTAAAACTTTTTCCCTATTTTTAAAAATTGTAACTTGTTTTTAAAACCTGTTCTCTACTTTTAAAATTTTTTCCGTATTGTTAAAAAATTGTAACTTGTTTTTAAAACCTGTTCTCTACTTTTAAAATTTTTTCCGTATTTTAAAAAATTGTTTCCTATTTTTTTATACGTTCAAAACTTTTTATCTACTTTTAAAACTTTCTATATATTTTTAAAATATGCTTTTCCTATTTTTCAAACTTGTTCTCTACTATTAAAACTTCTTATCTATTTTTAAAACTTATTTCCTATTTTTAAAACGTCTTATCTATTTTTAAAACTTGTGCCCTATTTTTAAAACTTTTTCCCTTTTTTAAAACTTATTCTCTTCTTTTAAAATTTTTTATCTATTTTTAAAACTTG